ACAGGCTAGTTGATGAAAAAAATCAACAATGAGCAATTAAATACATTTTAAGATGATTTTAGGCTAAATGGGTAAAAAATAAAAATATATTATCACTAATATTCACTAATATTATCACTAATATATAAAGTCACTAATATTATTATTTAATGGTTTGTTACTTTTGACCAATAGGTGGCACAGTTACGATATTGATGTGATGTGGTCAGAGTGAGGTGACAATGACACATACAAAATTTGGTGTCAATATGTCAAGGCATTGCAGAGATAAAGCCTGAATAGTAATTTTTGCAACATGCCTCATCGTTGCTGCTGCGGTATACGAAAACAGTTTCTTCTATCGATACAAAATCCATAACATTTTGTCGGCACGGTCTGGAGATGATACGATTCGATTTTGGTGAAAATCGGACAAACGGTATAGGAGAAGTTTGAAAAAGTAGATTTAAAAAAAATAATAAAGATGGCTGACAGGAAGTTTGGCTGAATATGTCAGAATTGGTATCTATGTTTTTGGCATAACTCAATGAATCTATTAAGACCAGTGTCATTACAATAGGTATATTTATTCAAAAGTTATTAGCATTTTGGGAAATTGTTATAACTTTTTTACCACAAGGTGGCGCTACCGCAAAACTTTTGGAGTATCTTCAAGGCATGGTGCTACTGACTCGTATGACTGATGACTCGTGTATTGAAGTCAATGGAAATATTATATTTTTCTATTATAGCGACAACAAGAGGCACAATCCCACTTTTTTGTGTGTGTCCTCAGAGTGAGCCAGTACATAGGTGTGTCAAATTTGGTGAAAATATCTAATTTTGTTTTGGAGTTAAAGACATTTATATGTATAAACACATTAAAAAAATGACCCATACGTGACTTTGTTTGTATATTCTTGCCACTTACTATTAATATTTTGACATTTGGGCATTAGCATATTGCCAAAGACCTATGTTTCCGAACTTCCTAAGGTGTTTTCATCTCGATCGGTCTAACGGTTTCAAAGATATTGGCAAATGTTTTTTAAGCGCTAAATCACAACTCTACAAAAACCGTAAGGAAAAACCTAGCATGTTTGATATCATTGGACTCGGCAAGGATTCAGGAATCTAAGGAGAAGATCTAACGAGATCATTTTTAACATTTTTGGACAAACCTTTCTGAATACGATAAAGCGTTGCGGAGATACAGCCTTACGTCTGTTTTCGCAAGAGCTACGTAAAATTAGTTTGCGCGGTATTTGAGAATGGTTTGACGAATCGACATGAATTCCATAACTTTTTGTCGGCATGGTCTGAAGATGATCTGGTTAAATTTTTGTGAAAATCGGAGTAACGGCCTAGGAGGAGTTAGAAAAGGTAGGTTTTTCGGAGAATTCAAAATGGCGGACAGATTTTCATGACGGAAAAATGACGTCATATGGTGCAATCAAATCGCCTTGAGCCGATTTCAAGACGTGAATTTCAATTTTTTTTCAGTTTTGTTTCTAGCGCTTATGGTTCAAAAGTTATTAGCATAAAAATGAGTGAAACTTTAGACAGTTGGTGGCGCTAGACCACACAGTTCCAACCACACAACTTTGCGATGCTGTTTGCGAATGTTTGTTAGAACTATGTTTTCAGGAAACAGCAACTCGTTGAACTATGCTGATAACGACAGAACTTGCGACCATAGTTGGCTAACGATGCTTTTGGGAAACGCACCCTAGGGCAGCAATATTAATAGGTGTGTTCAACTTGAAGTGGCGCTGCACAGACATCAAAGAACCGCGAGAGCAATTCGAAAACATACAGAGCCGTCTGCTCTCTAATCGCTCTCAAGGTACTTTGATGATCGGTCTGCAGAGCTTCAAGCTGAACACACCTATTTTCTCCTTTACATCTCAAAACATTCTCCTGACACACTTTTGAGCATGACTTACTCTGATTTGTGCTCCCAGAAGAAGGGCCTGTTCATGGCGATGCTCTGCAGCTGCTGTAGCGTGTCTGTGAGTGTGGCACTGAACAGCAGCGTCTGGCGTTTTGCGGGCACAGCACTGAGAATGACCTCTAGATCTTTAGTGAAATCAGTGCAGCCCTGCTCTAAAAGACGGTCAGCTTCATCCAGGATCTGCAGAGAAACACACAACGATTCAATGAAAACTTCTTAAAAACAAACTAGCTTAAGAATTTAGGTAGATAAAACAACCATTTGAAAATACTTCAAAATCTTACTAGAAATTGGATTCTGTTCAGGTTAACTGTGTCAGAGCTTCGGATGTGATCAGCAAGTCGTCCCGGAGTGGCAACAACAACATGCGGCTTTTTCGACAACTCCAAACCCTGAGTGACCATGTCTAATGGAAGAAAAAAATAAAATAAAGTTTGTCTCTTAAAGTGCCCCTAATATTCTTCTTCGGATATTACCTTCCATGCAGTGTGTAATATAGTGGTTTGTGAATGTAAAAGGTCTGCAAAGTTTCAAAGATCAAAGTGCACAATAAATGAGTAAAGATTTATTGTCTCCCAAAGGAAAGAACCGAATTTGAACTGCCTGAAGCGAGTCGTCATTAATTCTAACCCATGTAGGTTTGTAACAAATTTGCATAATGCCAGCCTATGGCCTTCCAACAACATCTACTTTGACTCGCCCTCAAACTCTGTAAGTGTGGCCAGGAAGAGTTTGTTTCATGTAGTCGACATGTTGAAAAGACGCTATAATCTGTGCTGAGAAAACAAATCCACTGCATGCACTTCCATAGCATGAGGACTCGGGCTCGAATTGATGCGGTAAAACCAACGCCATCGTTACTGTTCATATCACTGTGTACTGTATCAAGTGCTGAGGAAGCCTCTGGAGATGAAATTCAGATACGGTAATGGGCGTTTCGCTTATAGCATGAGTTGTAAGTAGTAGACCAATCAAAACAGACTGGGCCATCTAACCAATCAGAGTAGAGTAGGCTCTCAGAAAGGACAGGTTTAGAGAGACTGAATCCTTCATCAAACAGTTTCAGTCATAAAGTAGTGATACACTGCAATGTATATTATTATTAGAGTTAATTAAAGGTTGTTGTTTTTTACCCTGGATGCATGTAAACCTATTGTCGGAGACCTCCTAAACAAAATTCGGAACCTTTAAAATAGCATAATAAGAACACTAATACATATGCATTCTATAAATGACAGTTTTCTATAAACATTAAGCACTGTTTTTGCTTTGTGAATAAATGAGCCCTAAAGGATGACAAAGTAGAGCTCTGCATATTATCTTACCCATTCCTCCCACAATGATACAGTCCTTTAAGCCTAGGGGCTTCCCTAATGCTCTGAACTGTTCTGCAATCTGGTAAGCAAGCTCTCTGGACAGAAAACAGACAAAAATTAAAACATGTTAACTAATAAATTTGTATAGATTTTAAAGTGATTTCTCTTTAGTTAATGAACTATGAACTAACATGAATGATCAAGGTATAATAAATATATTAATATTTTTTATATTTAATAACATTTTCATGGTTCAGTACTGTTTTTCAATTTTTGTAATAAAGTTCAGCACTATTTTATGTGTTATGTTTGTTTTAATTCAGTATCCATGTTAAAAACTATCGGTTGATTAATCGGTTATCGGCCAAACTTTTCATTATTGGAAAAATTCACTATCGGTTGACCTCTATTTGAAATATCTTTATGTAAATAAATAAAGATTTGAATGTTCTGGCAAAAAAAAAAAAAAAATCATAAAGTATAAAAGTTAACCTGGTGGGTGTTAACACCAAGCAGAAAACACCATAAGGGTCCTCAGATAACTTCTGCACCACTGGAAGAACAAATGCTGCCGTTTTTCCACTTCCAGTTTTTGCACAGCCCATGCAATCCCGACCTATGTGAAAGACAGAATTCAGATTAAGCAAATTAAAAAATAAAGAACAACTCGGTTTTGTTCAATATGACCCCCGATGACAGCCAAAATCACAATCACACTTTATTATTAACACACTTAATTCCACCAGTGACATTAGTTTTGAGTTTAAAGAGTGTAAACTATAAATGAAAGGCCAGATTGTCTCAATTACTTGAAAGATTTTTTTTTTTTTAAATGTGTAGTTGTCCATAAAAGCAAGAACGTAAATCCCGTCATGATACAGATGCAACAGATATATTGGGCACATATACATGATATCCAAATGCTTATTATTATTATATCATATTATTCATTAATGAGATTACTCGTAAACATGATCACATGTCATTCTGTTCACAAAAGTTAACAACAGTCAAATAACACAAAACAACAACAAAAAAGGTTTGTATAAATGTAATAATAGAAATATAAAGGCATAACTTACTAAACATAATTATTAGTATAGTCTAATAATTATAGTTATTATTGTGCCAAAAGCAAACATATACATTTCCCCCTCCAAAATACTTTCTAGTAAAATTATTAAGACAATATTAAACCAAGAATAAATACTTTTAAGTTTTTTGTTGTTATTGTTGTCTAGAAATGACACCGTTTGATTGTGCCATCCATGAATACATGTGCTTGCGAATTAATAGTTCTATTTGATCTATGTAAAGCCTATGAACGCGATCTGTCCATTTTCATTGGTGTTTACAGTTTTTAAAAAAGCAGATATATATCTGTACCCTCCAATATGGCAGGAATGCATTTCTCCTGTACAGGGGTCGGTCGGCTGATGCCCATCTGCTTACACTGCTGAATCAACCACTCACACAGCCCGAGAGACTCAAACGTGGCCATTTTACACAGGGTTATTTAAAAACGAAATGTCCAAAACATAAACTAATCTGTATAAATGTTGATTTGAGCGCATTTAAATATCCTCTACAAGTTGATAACAAGCTTCCTCGTGCGACTCTGTGACGGACGCGTGAATTGGACGTCATATGATGTCGCGTTGAAAAGGGAAATGACCACGCCCCTTACGTCAAGAACTGCGCTTTTTGACAGCGAGAGAGATTATGTATGATAAAAACATTGCAACAAACTCGCCAGGCTAGGTATAAATGCATTATTCCCCCCATGCAAATGTATTTACATGAATACACGTGCTTTATTCTGATTAGCTGTGTCATTTGGGGGCAGATGTAATGCGAAGGAGCTCGTGAGCGCGCAGCTGAAACCGCGGGGTCGAGCAGAGAGGGTGAGAGGCGCGTGCAGGTGAGCTGAACAACTCTGTACTAGTGTTCAGGCCCCACAATATTAATGCAGTAGAAATCATTACTTTCCTTTCTAATGTTCTCATTGTCTCGTAGCAGACTATGCACTTGAAACTGTAAGTATGATATGGGTTGTTGTTGTTGTCATTGACGTGTTGTATTCCCTATTTTATTAAGACTGAGAATGGTTTGCGGTTATTTGGGCTTCTGCACATGATGACCTTCCTCATCCTCATCCTCATCCTCGCTGAGCATGGCGGAGTCAGATGGTGTGGAGTTCTCTGTGAATCGAGCTCAAAGCAGGTATGCATCGGATGTAGCATGAACTGTGGCATACGAGGCGTTTGATGCATGCATAGAGAGAGGTTGCTCCAAAATTCAACAGGGTTAAGTGCTAATATTAGTAAAGAAAACTAAATTCATTGGTTTTATTATTCAGTCTTTATTTAGACATTTTTTGAATATTAGGTGCACTCAGTAATGTTTTGTTAAAGTTTTATACGTAAAGAAATGAAAAGTACTTTTGAAAAATATCATTACAATGATATTTACCCCAACATATATAATGAAGAAGGCTTCAGACATATTTTTCAAGAAAAAAATTGTTTTTGTTTTGCATGGAGTGGGTCGCCCTCTTATGGGCGCAGCCATGTTGACATCACATGACCAGCTGTGTAGGAATTGCATTTCATCTGTCCTGTATTGGTAATTCAGCGATATTAAGAGTTTTTTGGGTTTTTTTTTTACATTTATTCCTATCAGTTGGATATAAATTGAAAGTTGTCATTGTGCATGCTCTTTCCCCTATTTTTACGTTTAGATTGCCTTTCAAAACTAAAACACTAATAATTTAAGAATGTTTAATGTAATATTTAGCAAATTTTTAAATTAGTATCCATTATTTATACTGTACATTAGGGCTGCAACTAATGATTATTTTGTTAATCGATTAATCTGTTGATTATTTCATTGATTAATCGATTAATCAGATAAAAAAAATCCACAAATTATATTTTAAATAAAAAAATTAATTAATTTAAAACTATTATTTCATATCCTTCCCAATGTTGTCCTCAAAATAATGTGAAATATGAAGGCTATGAAAACAAATATAGGGAATGTATCTATGTAGGCTATACATTGTTTGTTCAAAAAAGGGTTAATTAACATTACATTCTAAACCAAAAAATATCAACTGGTTATTTACCATTTTAAAGCAGAAGTTAAAATGACTAAATCAAAAATTTTAATAAACGGAGCAATTCCAAGAGGGTCCTCAGACTCCTCACACCATCGGTGCTCGGGCCCTAATAAACAGAAACAAAAGCACAAAATGTTAACTTGTACAAGGTATGAGGAACACACACATTTACTCGACTGAACATAATAGCCTCAGGGCCGGATTAAGAATTCAGAGGCCCCTGGGCACAATGTCTTGGGCAAATGTAGTTTGTTCAAGGACATTTTAATTTGGCATTAACAGTTTTACTGACTTAAAAGGAACTTGATTGTACTATGCTGGAGTAAAGTTCATAAATGATCGTTCTTTCCCATAGGATTTTGTAAAACTATGTAGGGTGAGATAGTTTTGTAAACCTCTGTCCCTCAAGAGGGGGTTCGGGGGCATGCTTCCCCGCAAGAAAATTTTGTACATTTTAAGGTTAAAGGTGCTATATGGAACTTTTCTTCTAAAATGAATCCTTTTTTTATTGCCTGTGTGTAAAGGGGTTGTAATCACACATTACAATGATCCACTTGTTCCGTTTTGCTATTACCTCTGAAGGCCAGTATTCCTATTTCAATGTGAAGTCTCGGGGTCGGATTTTCTGCGAAATCCATCGGATGTGACGTGCATGCGCGCTCCCGAGCCTCTCTCCTTTTAATATACAGTCTATGCGACGGCACTGCAGCTAACGACATGAGTCTGATAACACCAAAAAACGACCTGCCTCCAGCACAACACACACTCCAACACAAACTCCACATAAATATAAAAAACAAAACAAAAATGTATCTGCTGAAGCTCGTCAGGCGAAACGTGAATCGGATCGGCTTAGGACGAAAACACGGATCAACATCGGCAGAGCGTTTGAATTATGGAGAGACCTCCGCTATTTATATTGTGATAAATTACAAGTTTTCAGATATGCTGAAATAAATAATGGTAAACTGTAATGAAATAGCAAGGTGAACTACAACATACATGAGACATGAAATTAATACAAAAGACTCTTCCAGGATAACAAAAAGTAGGTGCTTTAGGATGTAACTTTTATTTTATGTACACTCATCCCACTACTATCATATTGTTTATAATACACATTTCCAGACACGTTCAGTACAGTAATGTTACTTCCTACGATCTTACTGTTACACTGAAATTGTTCAGTCTAGTCACTAACCGTTTTCGTTATCATATTATACATTCATCTATGTTGACATTGCGCTGCCTGATTGTGAAAGATACACGAATAGTTAATGAAATGCCTTATGCTAACACCACATGCCGGCTAAATGCAGTCAATGTAACGTTATCATGGTCCGAGCATGGAGCATTAGTTCAACGTCAAGCTGATAAAAGTAGCCTATTATTGTAACGTTGCAGTGGGAGTTTACATGAGTTTCCAGCATGTTGTGTGATGCTTTCTCCGGTGTGTTGAAAGTCTCAGTGTGGCCGGTACCATGAGTGCTCGCTCGTGTGTTCGAGCACGCCCAAGAGCACGAGCGCTCTTGTAAAAATTGGTTGCAATCTGAAACATCACCGATAGATGCCGCTAAAAATACATATAGCACCTTTTAGTGCATCAATCTGGTGCACTTTGAGAGCTCAAAATTAAGAGCTTCAACCCATGAACTGTGCACAAAGAAAAAGCACTGACTTGTACCTGGACATTAAAGAGGGCTCAAACATTTTTTTTTAGTTATGATATAGAGTCTCAGTCTACATTACATTATCACTGGTGTTTTAGGATGCCAAACAATTATTATAATAATGATTTATATAATTATTCCTATGACGTAAAATCCATATAGCCTATAAATGTACTATATGAAAATAGAATATTTCAAAAGTATATTTTACATTACACTATAGTATAGGAAAATTACAATACTTTTGTCCTAATTTCACTTGCAAGAAATAAACCCTTGAGCTTTTATTTTGGAGAAACCACCAGATCACCATGCTGAGCAAAGTGCAAACTTTTCTTTAAATCACGCTGCACAAACAGACTGCCTATATAGGCTACTTAAAGTATTTTGCTGTTTTATAAAGGCGCAAAGCCATTTCACGGTTTCAATTTTAGTTTGTTGGCAAAATATAACGCTAGAGACCTTTATTTTAGTGTATAAATTTTACATCTCTTATGTGTTGGGAAAAGGGAGAAGAGCGAGTTCGGCAAAGCGCGGATTCGAACTCGGGTCGAACGCGTCAAAAGCTACTTTCAAGCACCTCATGCCCTATGACCTATGCCACTGTAGATATTTAGTGGTGGGCGTCTTTTTGCCAAAAAGACAGGAAAATATACGCTCCGTTATCGGAAATGTAAAAAAAGAAGGATTTTTTTCTTCCACTCGCATGGGTCCCATAATGCCCATTGGATAATCCGGCCCTGGGTGCCCCCCGATTGGCTGGTGCCCCTGGGCACTCGCCCAATCCCGTCTATGGATAATCCGGCCCTGAGTAGCTTAATGATTTTACATTTATAGGCTACTCCAACAATAGTCCCTTTACTGTTACTGCTCTCATTAAAATACTTGTGTAAATAAAAATACTTGTAAAATAAAACGATTACTTGTGTTAAATGTAGAAATTTAAATCTAGATCAAATTTCTAACAAGAAATATTTCAGGAAAATGAGAAAAGGATATAACTGTAAAATGTAAGTTATGCTTTGAGGAAAACATGCCTCAAAAGCATTAAACAGCACATGCATCTGTCAAAGCAGGAGAGGGCAAGCCGCGGTAAATGCGTAGGCTTTGGGTTGAAGCTCTTCAAGGTGTATAAGCCATTTCTGAGAAACACTGTTGATATTTGAAATTGACACCCAAATAAACACACCCCAACCCAGAAGAAACACACCCCTCCCTTCATTGGTCCACCCCCATAAGTATGCCATCAAGTGAAACAGCTGTGATTCAACAACTACAACATATATAACTATAACTTGGTTATATGAAACTATGGAAGTAAAATAATCACAAATGTTTTTTAAACAAAAAAGCTGGTTGAATTGCACTAAAAAAAAAAAAAAAAAAAAAAAATAGGCATTGCATTAACACTGCTTGCATTTTAATGCATTGTAATTTTAGGGCATTTTGAATATTTAAGCTGTGAATATTTCAATTCAAAACATTTCACACACATTTTCATTATTAAAAATTCAATAATTCATATTCAACTTTCAGATTTCACTTCGAAAGTGTTCATTCTGTTTAAAATACAACCTATAATATTCGACAGGCAATTTTCAGTCCATTTTATTTTTCCTTACAAATTCGCTTCCACAAATTCAGTGTTTCAAGTTCGACAGAAAATTCGACATTTGACATCTGGGAACGGCAGGAATAGAAGTAGATTACCGACTAACAATCTCCATTGCTGTTAGTCGACCTCACCAGCAGTTGGTGCAAGCGGCTGTCTATGAAGACCAGAGCGAGAGTCATTCATTCATTAAAAACGGATTTACAGAAATGGAGCAAGCGGTCAGTATGTGTGATGTTTATCAGGACCAGTAGAAACTATATATGGGAAAGCTGACAAAGACACAAAAGCTGTGTTTACATTTAAGTCTTCACAGTTAGTTTTGCACATTTGCAGTTTTCTCTACCGTGAACATAACGTTATTCCCCGATGCTGACGTACAGATCAAACGTTAAATCTGAGGAAGTAGACAGATTTCTCTCGGTTGTTTAGTTTCCTTAACTTTATATCGCGGAGCTGTGCTTCAGAACTGGGGGTTCCCTCAGTATTCCCTCCAGGACTCCCCTGCCGTCGCGTAAAGTAGCTTAATGGACTAATCGCCTATAGTGATATAAAATACTAAACTCGCACCTTATCAGGGATGTAGGCTAGGCAAGCAGATGGACTCAGAATATGAACGTATTGCGCAAAGTTTCACGCTTAGCATTTCCCAGTGAAATACTGGCAGGCTTGACATTGAACGTTTGATATTTGCAAGTTAAAGTATAAAGTTCCGTATTAATTACAAGGTATTGCTTTTGACCTATAAAGCTCTAAATGGTTTAGCTCCAGTCTATTTAACGGATCTTCTATCGCCCTATAATCCATCGCACTCTTTAAGATTACTAAATTCGAGGCTTCTGGTCATTCCTAGGATATCCAGATCCACCAAAGGAGGGAGAGCATTTTCACATTTAGCTCCGAAGCTCTGGAATAGCCTTCCTGATATTGTTCGTTGCTCAGACTCGTTCTCCCAGTTTAAAACTAGACTAAAGACGCATCTATTTAGCCAGGCATTCATATACATTTTTTATCTTACAGTTACTGTAAATTCGGCCTCTACTTCATAAACGCCAGAGGAGAACTGGCCCCGACTGAGCCTGGGTTCTCCCAAGGTTTTTTTTTCTCCATTGGGTCATCTGATGGAGTTTTAGGACACCATCTGGTCACTTGATGGAGTTTTTCGGTTCCTTGCCACTGTTGCCTTTGGCTTGCTCAGTTGGGGATATTCAAATTAAATGACCCATCATACCATTGATCAGCTCTACCAAACTTGGATGTCGTTTTCCAGTAATAAACAAACACTGTTAAGTTCTTTTGATTGATACTGTGAAGCAGCTTTGATACAATCTGTATTGTGAAAAGCGCTATATAAATATATTTGACTTGACTTGACTTGACTTAAGGGACTGTGTGAGGGACCAAGCAGTCAAGGGCAAAGAATGCAGGATTTCCAAACAAAGAAAATTATTTATTAAATGCCAAACAAAGTTACAAATTAAATTAATTGAAAACTGAACAAAATAAAGTCAGGTCTAGGCCCATAAAAAGGGTCAACTGAACAGAACCAAACTTAACATGTATTCAAACCAACTAAGCAAACCAAACTAAACAAAAAACATGACCTCCCAAATGACACACATGGGGAACTTGTATACACAAAGGACTAGTCCATTACTCATACACAGGGAATAACAAACATCACTTAACTTTAGGTCAATTAACTTGCAAATATGAAACGTTCAATGTCAAGCCTGCCAGTATTTCACTTTCATTTCACTTTCACTTGCTCCATTTCTGTAAATCCGTTTTTAATGAATGAATGACTCTCTCACCCATTGCTCTGGTCTTCATAGACAGCCGCTTGCACCTCCTGCTGGTGAGGTCGACTAACAGCAATGGAGATTATTAGTCGGTAATCTACTTCTATTCCTGCCGTTCCCAGATGTCAAATGTCGAATTTTCTGTCGAATTTGAACCACTAAATTTGTGGATGCGAATTTGTAAGGCGAAATAAAATGGACTGAAAATTGCCTGTCGAATATTATAGGTTGTATTTTAAACCGAATGAACACGTTGGAAGTGAAATCTGAAAGGTGAATATGGATTAATGAATTTGTAAAAATGATAATGTGTGTGAAATGTTTTGAATTGAAATATTCACTGTTTAAATATTCAACCATGTTGAATTTCAGCCCATACAAATGCAAGCCCTAAAAATACAATGCATTAAAATGCAAGCACGGTTAATGCAATGCCTATTTTTTTTTTGTCAAATAAGTGCAATTCAACAAGCTTTTTTGTTTCAAAAACATTTTTCATTATTTTACTTCCATATGAAACATGGCAAAACCAATGTTACTCTCATATCAAGTAGAAACAAAGCAACCCCGGCACCCGTTTTCAGGCCTACCCATTCTAACATCTCTCCAACGCTGGAAAACTTTTCCAATATTAACCACTGACTTTTTTCTCTTTGATAATATTTCAGCCATTTCACTTTCTTCAGTCTTTCAACAAATGTCCCACCTGCTCACTCACCCACTATTGCTGATTGGATACAAGATTTGTGGTGCTCGATCTGATCCACTTTTTTTGATCCATTTTCCACAGTCAGGATTATGTACAAACACCTTTTTTCAGCACACACAGAACAGACATCTAACAAATATTCACAAAATTGTTTGTTTGGGTGGTGATTTCAATTATCAACAGCAATTCTCAGAAGCGCTTACTTCACCTTTAATATAAACTAAAGCATTCTCGTGTTTTGGTTTGGGTCATGCACCTGTCCTGTAACAGTTCACTCTGTATCCTCCACTATTTTCCATATGCGTTTTGTCCATAGAAATGTGTTAATTCACTACACACAGACACGGCTAATCAATAATCAATTTCATTGTTGATTTTCATTATAATCAATTTTATTGATTAGTTTTTTCAGCCTAATGTACATTAGAATTATGTCAAAAGTTCACATGCAGAATATAGGAGATGATTGATTTTCATTTGAATGTTTAATTCAATTAATTTTGACAGACTAATATAAGGGATTAATATGTTGTTATCAGCCATAATATGATAACATTTTAGTCTACAGGGATGGGCAAGCTCTGTCCTGGAAGGCGACTGTCCTGCAGATTTCAGCTCCAACCCTAATCAAACACACCTGAACCAGCTAATCAATGTCTTTAGGATTACTAGAAAACTACAGGTAGGTGAGTTTTATCAGGGTTGGAGCTAAACTCTGCAAGACAGTGGCCCTCCAGGTAGGGTTAGGTATCATTTGAACTCTAGCGATTCAGCTTAATTCCCAGTTTCGATTCTAATAAGATGAATACAAACATTTAGATATCAAACATATTTATTCTGTGTTTTTTTTTTTTTTTGCTGTCTTTGGCTGCATTTACACTGCAAGTCTTAATGCACAGATCCGATCTTGTGACCATATCAGATTTTTTGGCCCACCTGTTTACATTCACTTTAGACAGGACTGGTATCCGATATGTGTTTACATTAAATCCTGGCCAAAATAATTTTTGGTGATCATTTACTATGCACATGCTAGACCCTGGTTTTGAATGGCCTTGCTTTTCAAATTATTTATATATCATGTTGGGTGATAATGATTATTTGCCAGCATGGATAAGATAACAGCTGTCATGACTCATGAATGTTTTAAAGTAGAGAGAGAGAGATAATTAATTACAGTGAAGTTATCACCTCATTGCTGAGAAATATAATGTAGCTTTCAGTAGTGAAGCTGTTTTGTTTATAAAAGTCACGGGCAGAGGTTGAAAACCAGCTCCTGATTGTTTCTGTGTTCGTGCAATTTCTTTTCTTTACAAAGATAAATATAAAGTTTCCTCCTCAAAAAGCTGTGAGCGAGTGCATACAGGCACGTCTGTCTTATAATACAACATTAAGCTATCTTTGTGAATAAACGTGTCATCCTCGCCTTGTAGTGGCTTTTTGATTGGATTTTTTTTGATTGGATTTTTTTGTGCCAGTGTAAATGCTTGTCTCTGTTGCAGCTGAATACCATGAACAAAAACAACTAGACTAAGTAATAGACATTTCAAACATTATTAAAGACAAGTAAGCAGTCAGTATTAAAATAAGAACAAATAAACTAATTAGAATTGGCTAAAATAAATACAACTGAACAAATTTCAGGAACAGAAAATAACTCTGCATGGTTTTCTTTTGTTATAAATACTATAGATTAATCCTTATTAAAGTTACAAAAATGATTCCATCAAGATCAGTCAATAAAATTCCAACGACTGCTTGTTGCTTGGTTTTTGTGGAGCTTATGGGTTCTGTATCCAAATAGGTTATTTATCCGTTCTTTTGAATAATTTAAAAGTAAGTGCTATTACAGGGATCATGTTGATGCGTCAGTTTAGAAACTGAGACCAATTGGTGGAGCGTCAGGAAACCGCAAACTCATCAAGCTACTTCTGAAGTTCTGTGGGCTGTGTAGCCAGAGACAATGATCAGGGAGTGGTGAGAGATACAATTCCTCGTAAACTGATTCTCTTTCTTTTCCAGCATGGCTAACAACAAGAATAGCGCGCTCCGTTGTACTTTCTCGGCCCCCAGCCACAGCAACACTCTCCTGAGGGGGTTGTCTGCGTTGCGTGATCAAGGTCAGTTGCTGGATGTGGTTCTGGCCATTGACAACGAGCGCTTCGAGGTTCACAAAGCGGTTTTGGCCTCCTGCAGTGACTACTTCAGGTGAGATATACACAGTTTGTTAACACCAGCCAACTGAGCTGTAAATCGAGAAATAAGTTACAAGGTTAATCCTTGTCTTATTGATGACCCAATTAAACCACGTGGCTACTGCATATATAGACTTAGATATATAAGATATAGATTTTGTCAGTGTTAAAGGGGTCATAACATGGATTTTTTTAATTAATTTAATGTTTCTTTAGGCTTTTTTTTTTTAAACAAACAAAAAGTTGTATATTCACGAAAAATATTTATTTTCAACCCTCATTCTGGCCCTTCTGTTGTGATTGGCTAACGCATGGGAAAAAAATATTAACAGCCCCCTGCTATTGTATGTAAGTGTAAGTAAAGCATTATCCATTTAAAACCACCATTTACAGGCAAAGCAAAGCATCATTAGTCTAATTACAGTTGCAAACAGTTGTCAGATCCAATACAGTTGACTGATTCATTTTTCAACAAAAATCTTTTGCAAACTCTTTTGCACTATGCCTTGTTTACAAAACAATCTGCAGTCTAATTCTCCAAACAAACATATAAACCTCCGACGCGATCCGGGATGCCATTAAAAATAATCTGCCAGTTCCTGACGCTGGGATCCTTCTGAAGGCTGTACAGATGCTAGCATGGTTTTTAAACTGGACGCATCAAAGCAAATGTTTTTTTTACTTTTCCATTTGTCCTGTTGTCGGGAGTAGAAGCACATGGAGTACATCAGAAATTGAACGGGTATACTGTATACTGTATTCGGCGTCAGTGATTACATTGGGTTCTATTTGCTTTTGACGTGTTAAGTGGGCCAAATATTCATCAGTATCTTGCTCTGGAGGCAGTCATATTCAAAAGTTCCCACAATATCCAAACAAGCTATTTTTGGAGCTTGGTTAAATTAATGCTCTTTTTGTACGTAGGAGGTTGTTTTAAGCTATACAACTTGGATATTTTAATGGTATACTCTTATATGCCAAAAAAATCAAGGACATTTTGATTTCTCATGTAATGCCCTTTTAAGGAGTACACTAACATATAGATGGTTTCAAAACTATTAGACATAAATTAAATATACAAACCTAATATAGTTATAAGCTGCGGGTCAAATGAGACACTACAGAGACACAAACCAGAACATTTGTTGGCATTAAAGCACTGAAAGCAGAATGAAATACCAAGAAGGATCTAGAATAGATGAGGTGCTGCTGTGTACACTCCCAAAATTTGAGCATAAGCCCAAAAATGATTGATGCTTGAAGTTCATTAGCCATTTGAACTACAGGCATAACCACTATTGAGTTGTTTGCATGAAATTGTTAAAGGGATAATTCATATAAAATGAAAGGTATGACATAACTTTCATTTTATATGAATTATCCCTTTAACATTACGAAACCTCATGTTTAGGACTGCATGATATTGGAAAACACTGTAAATGCGATATTTTGTTTTTTATATATATATATGAAAACAATTTCACCAGATGACTGGAAAAGCTCTATTGGGAAAGAATTAATCTTCTAAAATGATTGGGGGGATTTTAGAGTGAAACAAATTACAAAATAAATACAATAAAACAAAGATACAAATGAAATAAACAGGTAAGTCTAACAGTATTCAGTCCAACAGTATTCATTTGAATAATCAAATGTAAAATAACACTGCATAGTCTTCACTGTATACATTTAAATTATTCTTTGTTACAGCTACAAAAGTGATTTTCTCTTTGTATTTTGTTGTGATTAACATCTATGACACAGACAGCAGCAGGACAATTGTGCTGCTGTCACTTTAAGACCGAATGCACGGATCCAATATATTGATACGAATCCATTTTTCTTATTTGTCCCTTCTAGCACAAATAGGTGTGAATGGAATTCGTTATTCGCGTGGTGTTGCTCTGTTAAAACTATAAAAGAAGACGTGCAAGTCTTCTTTCGTGTCTTCTTACGCTCTGATAATTACAATCACTTGAATGTTTAAACTGACAGCTTTGCAATTAATCCGAGAATCATGTGCGTTTCAAACCGTGGTGCCTGGTCCGTACAGATCATATGATCATTATACTTGACATCGCACATCTTGCAATATGACTATCGTGGATATGCACATTGTGATATCGATGCTAAAATGATTTATAGTGCAGCCCTAGTTGGCATGCAGAGAGATAATAACTAGTATGTGAGCAATAGAGATGTGCTATATGTATTTCATGTTGATAAAATCCTTTGCACCTGCTTACCGTTGTTCATTGTGAGGTAATCATTCATCATAGTCTCTCAACCTGTTTTTAAGGTTGCAGATATAAATACACTTTGGCTATGTCTCATTTCAAAGGCTGTGTCCTCCGGAGGTCGCATTTGTTGGCCGCATACATCATTGAGGCTGCTTCATTTTAATAAACTGACCCCTATATTCCAAATTCAATAAGAAATTTATGCTTCACTAGGAATTTCGGTCAATTTTATAATGGTCACTGTTCTGAAATAAGACTCCTTTTATGACGTATGCGGCTGACAAATGTACCTCCAGTGGACGCAGCCTTCGAAATGAGACGCAGTGTAAAACTGAGAATTAAGCAGAAGCGTCAACCGAAGCGCACAGCTCTGATAATGTATTTTTGCAACTGCGCATCACAATCCACTACTAGTGTGACGCAGGACTCCAGTGCTGTATTAAATTTGCTCAATTTAAGTTACTAATTGCATAAGCAAATTTGTGCTGGGGTAACATGGCTCATATACAGTGCCTTCCGAAAGTATTTGTAATTTTTTTTTCACATTTTGTTGCAGGCTTAATTTAAAATGTTCCATGTTCTGCTCTGTCAGTGCGCGCAAGCCTTTCAAAGTATACTACTTTGGCCGTGAGTGCGGAAAGATGCGCTATCTAGTGGAATTTGTTTTCAAAGCGCTCAAGTTACTTGGACATGCGCTGTTGTACACGAACTAACTGCATGGTCACCAAAATTGGGCTGCACGCGAACGTCCGCGGACCCTCTTGATGTCGGAAATTATGGAGGAGACGACGACAATTACGGACGAAGTATACTTTGGGCTTTATGCTAAACTGTAGAATGATGTGCAAAAAAGTAATTAAAATCCCTCTATTCACCATAATGACAGATAAAAACTTTGCAAATTTATTAAAAAGGAAAACCTAAAATAATTACATTGCATATGTATTCATACCCTTAAAGGGTTAGTTCACCCAAAAACTAAAATTACCCGAATGATATATGATAAAAGTCCTCCACACAGCTCAGAGGGGTTAATGAAGGCCTTCTGAAGTGAAGTGATGCGTTCGTTTAAGAAAAATATCCATATTTAAAACTTTATTGACTAAAATAACTAGCTTCCGGCAAACAGCCGTACGCATCGATTTACGGTGGAAGAGTGACCCTTTATGCATGACGTAATGACTAACGTGGAAGCGCAGAGGATAGAGCAAAACAAAACACCAGTTAAGAATTAGAAGTCTAAAACGACACGAGAGGCGTCTAAACTTACGATACTCCTACATCCTACGTCATACATGCGCCACAAGAGTAACTTGTGACGCAAGTCGACTTGCGTAGTATGCGTATGGTCGTCTGCTGGAAGCTAGTTAATTTAGTTGATAAAGTTTTAAATATGGATATTTCTCTTACACGAACGCATCGCTTCACTTCAGAACGCCTTTATTAACCCCCCTGAGCCGTGTGGAGGACTTTTATCATGGATGGATGCACTTTGATGGGCTTCAAAACCGAAACAAACAACCATTCACTGCTATTATAAAGCTTGGAAGAGTCAGGACATTTTTTAATAGAACTGTCTCTGATTGTATTTGTCTGAAAAAAAGAATGCCATATACACCTATGATGGCTTGAGGGTGAGTAAATCATGGGCTAACCCTTTAACTAAGTAATTAGTTGAAGCACCTTAATAGCTTTTTGGGTTATGATGTGACACTCTGATGTGCACATATGCATTTTGGGGATTTTTTGCCATTCTTCTCTGCAGCAGCAGCTCTTGTATTGTCTTGGCTGTGTGCTTAGGGTCATTGTCCTGTTGAAAGGTGAATCATCTGCCCAGTCCGAGGTTCTGAGTGCTCTGGACCAGATATCTTTGTAATTTGCTGCATTGAGCTTTCCTTCAATTCTGATGAGTCCCGGGTTCCTGCTGCTGAAAAACACCCCCACAGCATGATGCTGCCACCACTGTTCTATACCTTTTGGATGGTGTTGTGCTGGTGATGAGCGGTGCTTGGGTTCCTCCAGACATGAAATTTGGAGCTAAGACCAGAGAATCTTGTTTCTCACAGTCTGAGAGTCCTTTGTGTGCTTTTTCCCTAAATTCCAAGTGGGTTTTCATGCCTTCACTGAAAACCCACTTCACTTTTGTTGACAGGTGTGTGCCTTTCCAATCATGTCCATTCAATTTAATTTGCCAAAGGTTAACTCAAATGGAAGTGTAGAAACATCCCAAAGATGATCCAGCTAAATTGAAATGCTCCTGAGCTAAATTTCAAGTGAACCAGAGAAGTGTATGAATACTTGTGCAATGTAATTACTTCAGTTTTTATTTTTAATAAATTGGGACATTTATAACAAATCTTTTGTTATTGTTATTTTGTTATTGCTTTGTCATTATGGTGTACGGATTGTAGATTGGGAAAAAATAACTTAATGCAGTTTACGACAAAAGATTTTTTCTGTTTTGTTTGTAATAAAGGGCCTAATATGTAAGGGATAATATACATCCAGCTTGTTACTTTATATTCCATAACAATCTACAAAACAATCATCCTGGCAACAAGACGAGTAGTCATTTTCAATACAGTCGCTAAGTGGACGAAAGCTGGCGTCAGTCACAGTTTTGTATACAGCGGTGTTGTTATTGGCAAAAGTCATTATCAGAAAATAACAAACCTCGGAATGTTTAAGTCAATAGAAAACTGTACGCATGCTGATTCCGATACGTTAAAATATGCGCTTTAAGTAATAAATGGATTAACATATTTTTCTCTTTCTCTTGGACACACTAAGAGAGAGAAAAGCTGCATATACTACGAAAAGATTGATAAAACTTTCTTGCTAGGTTTAAAGGCTAGATTTTTTTTCATGTTTTTTAACAGGCTGGCAATCCAAAGGAGACATATGCAGCTACACCACAGTATAATAGCTTAATGGTATCATAGTTAATGTGACTAACCGTTGTGGATGCGATGTCTCATAAAATTGTATATTGTCACTCCGGTGTCTTTAATTGTTTTCCCACATTCTTTGCATCTAGACGATTTGACATGTTAATAAAACCAAATGTAAGCTCCTGCCATGTTTAATAGGACTCTTATGACATTTCAGAGTTTACGCACAATACACAGACCTGCGTAATCGAATTCTATGACAAGGGTCCTATCTAACATGACATGTAGGGAAATATGTGACGCAGATCTTATAAAAACCAGTCATTCAAATAAAACACAAATTACTTTATGATATCAGTAGTTAAGGATTAAAGTCTTCAGTTGTTTTTAAAATATTCACGAGTCCTTTGTTGAGTCGGGTCAAGTCTGAAGTCATTTCAGGCCGAGTCCGAGTCAAGTCTGAAGTCTATTAAAGTGCGACTTGAGTCCTAGTCACTAACTCGAGTGCCCATCTCTGGTGCGAGCTATACTGTGTGTGTGTGTGTTACAATGCAGCAGCGCATAAGTTTAGAATGGCGATTAAATGTACAATAAGCGGTTTAAAACGTGCATTCACCCGATACATTTTGAGCATCCAGATGGTATAATCATACATATCTTGTGGAGGGCTCTGAGTATGCATTTATTGTTCCTTTTAACTGTTGGAAACAAGCGTAAAATGTGACTTCAAAGATTTCCTGTTGCGCTCCATAGGCACGAGTGGCTAGTCGACATCAAGCTTAAAGCGTCATGGCAGAGCATTAAGGTTGACTAGTCTGTGCAACCCCTAGGCTGCAACAAAAAACGTATAGAAAAAATTAAGGGGTACGAATAATTCCACAAGCACTGTATATAATACATTATATGGACAAAAATACTGGGACACCTGACCATTACACCAACATTGCATTCTAAATATAGACATTAATATGGAGTCGGTCCCTCCTTTGCAGCTATAACAGCTTCCACTCTTGGGAATGTTCCCACTCCACGTGTGGGAAGGCTTTCCACAAGATTTTTGGAGTGTTTCTGTGGGAACATTTGCCCATTCATCCAGTAGAGCATTTTTGAGGTCAGACATTGATGTTGGACGAGAAAGCCTGGCTAGCAATCTCCGTTCCAGCTCATCCCAGATGTGTTTGATGGGGTTGAGTTCAGGGCTCCATGTGAGGATTGTTTACATTAGACTAGAGTGCGCTCTGCGCCGCATGCACACAGTGCTTATACATGTGGGGATTGTTTACATCAGAGTGCGCACGTGTTTTGCGGAGCATATACGCAGTGTTTAAGCGGTTGATGGAAAATTAGCTAATGCGCGTTCTAAAAGTCTAAATTCGAATCTTTTATTTTTCACAGTATTTTGAAGTGCCCGCGATAACAATATCGTCCATATTCATTACCGCGATTTATCGCATTACCGAATACCGGCACATGTCTATTATCACATTACCACACTTGAATTCACTGATCTCTTCAGAATGTCTCATGTACTCCTGTGGTAATGGGTCTGATTGAAACATCTGAATTCAAGAATTACGAGGTGTGTCCCAATTCTTTTGTCCATATAGTGAATGTATGATATGTGAAATGCATCAGTGAATGTTTGCACCTTATGTAATAGTTATGTATGAGTCCCTCAGTTGTTCTCCTGTGTAAAAAGATGACATTGCAGTTCTTTTTAAAGAATGGCCAAATATGCGCTTGTGAACCATTCCCTTGGCCATTTTGTCAAGTTCAAACAGTGTGAAAAACGATGAAAGCTTGCTCGACCCTGCGCAGCTCGTTACAGTATTGAGTTCTGATTGGTTGATCACTGTTATTTATAGTTTGTTAATTACCACAAACACTAACAATGTCTTCTATGAAACACAGGTATCTGTTAACATCTCAGAAAATGTATCACCCTTTAAAGCACTGAAACAGCCCGAGACATCTTGAACATACAAATTGAAGATCTTGTGTGAACATATCCATCAAGTTTATAATGTTTTGGGTCAAGCCTTCATTTTTATTAATATTCTTTTTTTTTTTTAATGCCTACTTAGAAAATGACTGGGAAAAATATTTCCGGAACCAAGGCTGCTAAAAATGTGAGCAGTCACTTTAGGGTTAGCTTAAAAATTTGCAGATTCTTTCTTCACAATTTGAACAGAAGTGTAAAATCTTTTCTTCTTGATCCATACAGAGCCATGTTTACTGGAGGAATGAAGGAGTCAAACCAAAATACCATAGAGCTAAAAGGTCTTTCAGCCAGAGGACTGAAGCACATTATTGATTTTGCCTACAGTTCTGAGGTCACTTTGGACTTGGACTGCATTCAGGATGTTCTTGGTGCTGCTGTCTTCCTGCAGATGGTGCCTGTGGTGGAGCTTTGTGAGGAGTTCCTGAAATCAGCCATGAGTGTTGAGACTTGTCTCAATATCGGCCAGATGGCCACCACTTTTAGCCTCTCGTCCCTTAAACAGTCGGTTGATGCTTACACGTTCCGTCACTTCCTGCAGATAGCACAGGAGGATGATTTCCTTCACATTCCAATGGAACGACTGGTTTTCTTCCTTCAGAGCAACAAGTTGAAGAATTGTAGTGAGATCGACTTGTTCTATGCAGCGATCCGCTGGCTGCAGCATGACGGATCCAGACGATCTGCAGCCAGCGAAGTGCTCTGCCACGTGCGCTTCCCCCTAATGCGATCGTCTGAGCTTGTGGACAGTGTCCAAACGGTCGATATCATGGTGGAGGATGTGCAGTGTCGATACTTTCTCCTAGAAGCCTTCAATTATCAGATCCTTCCATTCCGACAGCACGAAATGCAATCACCTCGAACTTCCATTCGCTCAGACGTTACGTCGCTCATTACTTTTGGTGGAACACCCTACACCGACAATGATCGCACTGTAAGCAGCAAAGTTTACTATCTGCCCGACATCACAGTGCGACAGTTCAAAGAGTTGACCGAAATGGAGATGGGATGCAGCCATGCATGTGTGTCGGTTCTCGACAATTTTGTGTACGTCGTGGGTGGGCAGCATTTGCAATATCGCAGTGGAGAGGGCGCAGTTGACATTTGCTTTCGCTATGACCCCCATCTGAACCAGTGGCTTCGAATCCAACCCATGCAGGAGAGCCGCATTCAGTTTCAGCTTAATGTACTGCATGGACAACTTTATGCTACAGGGGGACGCAACAGATCTGGCAGCTTGTCCTCTGTAGAGTGCTATTGTCCAAGGAAAAATGAGTGGACTTATGTGGATTCCCTGAAAAGGAGAATCTGGGGTCACGCCGGAGCTACATGTGGAGAGAAACTCTACGTCTCTGGAGGTTATGGGGTGTCTGTGGAGGATAAGAAGACTCTTCATTGCTATGATCCAGCTTTGGATCAGTGGGATTTCAAGTGTCCCATGAATGAGCCGAGAGTCCTGCATGCTATGATCAGTGTAAACAACCGTATTTATGCTCTCGGTGGCAGAATGGACCATGTTGACCGCTGCTTTGATGTCCTAGCTGTAGAGTATTACATTCCAGAGACCGATCAATGGACAACAGTCAGTCCAATGCGTGCTGGTCAGTCGGAGGCTGGCTGCTGCTTGCTGGATAAAAAGATATATATAGTTGGAGGATACAACTGGCACCTAAATAACGTCACAAGTATTGTGCAAGTTTATAATACAGAGACGGATGAGTGGGAAAGAGATCTTCATTTTCCAGAATCCTTTGCAGGAATAGCTTGTACACCTATTATACTTCCCCAAACAACCACTCAGCGCTAAGCACATATACTTACATTTGCTTACATGATTTAAGGCCTGTTCATGTTAATGACATGAAAGCACAAACATTCCTGATGACCCTTTTGAGAATGTGAAGCATCTTTCTACACACCACTCAAGCAGTATGTTGTTTTTGGCCCTTCTTGTAGATTGCCCCATTTTATACTAATGAGGGTTTCTGACAAGTGCCTGTGGGATTTGCGTTGACGACAGACTTGAATGGACCAACATCATATATATATATATATATATATATATTACTGGGTAATAATGTTTTTAACCTACATACACTTTTGTTTTCTTTCACAAACTAAGCAAGCACATTTCATTAGGCACTTTAATGTTCAATCAGTGATTTAATGACTTAAAACGGTGCATTCTCATGTTTTTACAAGGTATATACAGTATGTCAAATGACTGGATCATGTACATGGAACTACAGCACAATTTTTTTGTCATGATAATTGCATGTAATTTGAATGTGTAAAAAACCCTGCATTCTAAAAACTACCTATGCTGTTTTTTGTGCATTTATAGTATGATGATGTGTTTGATTACATTTATGTGTTAATGTTTTTCCCCCTAAATCCCTTTAAAGGGATGGTTCAGCCAAAAGTGAAAATTCTGTCATTAATTACTCACCATACCTGCAAGACTTCGGAACACATGAAGATCTTTCTGATGAAATCTGAAAAAAGATTGCAAAACTAATCCATATGAATTTATTTATTTATTTATAAACATATCTTTATTACGAGGATTAACCCCTTGAGATGAAACATCTCGTTTTCGAGGGGGTCCTCCAATACATCAAAGCAAAAAAAGAACCAAAACAGCAGAGCAAATGTCAAAAACAGTACAACAAAACACAACAACACACACACACACACACCAGCTCATAATGCTCAACCCCACCCCACCCAACACGATCCCCATAGATAAAATGACAGAAAAACAACCACATAACTAGCATTGCACAAGGTCAAGGAGTAAGAGTAACACAAAAAAACATTGAGGATAAGAATTACAATAATAATAAATAAATGAATAAAAATGAAGACATAAAAATTAGAAATAGTAAACACATGGCCAATGAAGCCCATGGTCCAACAAACAAAACTAGAAACAAAGACAAATATTACGAAGATATTCCACGAGGGCCCTTCGAAAAGCTGTAAGTGAAGTTAAAGAACGGATAAAAAGAGGAAGATTGTTCCAATCATATGGAGCCTTAAAACAAAATGCATATTTCCCTACTTGTCTTTTAACTCTAGGAACAACAAAAAAGATCTGATCATTGTATCGCAGGCTGTAAAGCGAATTATAAAGCACCAAGTGTTGCTTGAGATAAACTGGATAATTCAAGTAAAAACTTTTAAAAATAAACTGTAACCAGTGAGACTGTCTCCTGGCAGAAGGGGCCAACCAGGACAACTTACTGTACAACACACAGCGGTGTGTCCTGAAGGGACAACGGAGAACAAAACGGCAAAGACTGTTGTAGACCACATCAATGGAGTGCAAACAAGAAGCAGTAGTGTTCTGATAAATAATGTCGGCATAATCCAAAATAGGCAGTAGCAGCTGTAAAACTATTCTTTTCCTGACCGGAAAATTAAAACATTTAACAGATTGATAAAGTATTTTAAGACGAGAGTAAAGTTTGTTTGTCAATGCTTGTACATGAGTTTTGAAAGATAAGTCAGTTTCCAACCAAACACCAAGATATTTAAAGGTCTCAGTTGACTCTAAAGGAGAGGAATCAAGAAAACAAAGATTAAGGTTATTTTCACCTGTATCCAAGACTTGTCTATGGAACAATAAAGAGTAGGACTTTGATTTATTAAGGAGAAGTTTATTCGCCAATAGCCACTGCTGTATAGAATTTAAGTCATGCTGTAAAGCGATGTTTATCCCGGAGATAGTGGGTTTACTACAGTAAATGACTGTATCATCGGCATAAAGATGAATATTACAGTCTGTACAGCATAAGGGCATGTCATTAACAAAAATAGAAAATAATAATGGACCCAAAGAAGAACCTTGAGGGATGCCTTTTACTATGCCTGTATAATCTGACTGACAACCCTTGTAGGACACACTCTGACGACGATGATGAAAATAGCAATTAAACCAGAGTAAAGATGATCTCGAAAGACCAATAGCATGCAATTTATCCAATAGAATATAGTGATCAACTAAATCAAAGGCTTTGGAGAGATCTAAGAAAATGGCACCGGTACACAGATTGTCATCAAAACTAGAGAATATATCGTTAGAGAGTTTTAAAAGAGCAGTGGTAGTGGAAAAGTGTTTTCTGAAACCTGATTGGCATTGAGTAAGTAAATTATTATCAGATAAATAACCAGATAATTGATTAAAAATTATTTTCTCAAAAACTTGAGCCACACTATTAATTATTGATATTGGTCTATAATTGTTCAAATTTTGTGAATCTCCACCTTTGTGCAAAGGAATAACTTTAGTACATTTCCAAGCAAGAGGCACTTCGCATGTATCAAATGACATGTTAAAAAGCACAGCCAATAGTGGTGCTAGTACATGCGATGCAAGTTTAATGAACTTACCCTCAAGACCATCAGGGCCAGGACTACTGCTATTGGAAAGCTTATTAATAGCCTGTTGAACTTCCGTTGATCTAACCTGTCTAAATTTAAAAGAGCTTCCGCAGGGTTGGCTGTTAAGACACGGGTCTGCGAGAAAAACAGGAGGTTGGATAAGCGGTATTTGAGAAAAAAGCAAACTAAAGGCATTAGAAATCACAGCTGGATCATTAGTTATTTCATTATTAATTATCATATTATTTGAAGTATTATTAGACTTACCAATTAGAGTATTAGCTCGCTTCCAGAATTGCTTTGGGTTACTTAGTTCATTTGACAGGCTATCACGATAAAAATAGGCTTTAGCGTTTCTTGTTTGAGTTGTACATAAATTTCGTAATCGTTTGTATTTTTCCCAGTCTTCAGGCAATTGTGTATGTTTATGTTTAACCCAGGCCCTATCCCTCTTTTTAAAAAGATTAATAAGAACACCATTTACCCAAGGCAGATGATGGCCTTTAACCTTAATGGATTTCCATGGAGCATGCCTGTCAATAACTAGCCCAACTTCAGTATAAAAAAAAATCCCAAGCAGCTTCAACATCAGGAATTAAGTAGAACCTATCCCAATTTATCCTACGAAGGTCATTAACAAATAGATTATTATTAAATGATTTAGTTTCCCGTACCTTGATATATTTAGGAGGAAGATGAGGAGTTGCAATTTTCCAGATACAATAAATAATGGAATGATCACTAAAACAGTCAGAGAGAACTCCAGAAGTCATTATTCTGTGTGGATGAGAAACAAGAATCCAGTCAATGAGAGATTTAGAGTTAGAGCAAATTCTAGTGGACTCAGTGATGATTTGAGTCAAATTAGCACCATTAACCATATTACGTTCTTTGACTGTAGAAGAATCATTCCAATTTAAATTAAAATCCCCCAGTAGAATAGTTTCTCTCGAGTCACCCAATAATGATACCGTAGCTAAAATGTTCTTAACAGACTCTAGTTTAGGAGCTGTAGGCGGTCGGTAAATATTGCCTATTATCAAATGTTTATTTGCATGAAGAGTTAACTTAACAAAGATACCTTCGAAAAGCTCAGGTTTCACCTCAGGAATAATTAGCTGTGAACTCAGATTAGATGAAATATAAGTAACGACTCCACCTCCCCTGGAACCTCTGTCAGCCCTATACATTACATAATTTTCAAGGTGAATAAAAGCATCAGTAGTACTATTAGTAAGCCATGTTTCAGACAAAGTAATTATATTGGGATTATTATAGGACAGCCAAGCTCTAAACTGATCAATTTTAGGGAGTAAACTACGGATGTTAAGATGGATAGCATGGAGACTTTTACCCATAGAATATATATTTGTAATCAATGAAAACAAAGCTAACTAACCTTGTGAGGTAAAAATCGTGAAAGTGAAGAAGAGGTGAACATGAGAGCCAACACCATATACACACACACTCAACCATACCTACATTTAAAAAAAACAAAAACAAAACAATAATACAGAAATCCACACACAAAAGCAAGATAACAAATTAAACTAAACTGTCTTCATTCACTCCCCTGATAATAGAACCACTGAGTTATTTTCCACAACGTAATTAAGTGCTTCAAGATTGATAATAAATCCCTTAAAGTTAATAGATAAGATAAATTAATACGCAAAAAGAATACACACTCAATACATTTTTGTTTGCTTTATAGACCCAGTGGTGAGATAAAATAAAACAGCATATATTGAACAACCAAAAACAGCAATCTGCAAGGTCAGAGAAAATCAAACACTCAAGTACACAAAACTTCCTTCCTTCCCTTTCCCTTAAAACAAAAAGAGAGAAAAAAAAAAGTAAACAACAAACAATCATTGTGATTGTGAATTAAGGTTTTGTTTTTCTCTGAAGAGACACAATCACAGATTTAATTTAGGCTTCTATTCACCTATAAACATTCATCAACACATTAATCAGTTGTGGTAAACGGAAGCTCAAGCATGTTCGCTTGACTAGCGAGAACCAATGAGGTTTATTCCCGTGTTACGCAGCACTTTTGAGCTTCAGCAAGAACCAATGAGGTTTGTTCTCGCGCATCAAGCAGGTTCAGTTGAGCTTGTGTTTTATGTTCTCTTATCAATGTTTATATGTGGATAAAAGCCTAAATTAAATCTGTTCATCATATAAAGCGATCGAGCCTCTTCAGAAACTTTGGACTAAACCTTTCAATTGATATGGATTAGTTTTACGATCACTACAAGCTTTTTGAAGCGTCAAAGTGGTAATTCCGTATAGCTACCAATGGAGGGACAGAAAGCTCTCAGATTTCATCAAAAAGATCTTCATTTGTGTTCCGAAGATAAGCAAAAGTCTTTTGGGTTTGGAACGACATGAGGGTGAGTAATTAATGACAGAATTTTCATTTTTGGGTGACCTATCCCTTTAAAGACCCACTCCGATGAAAATAATGTTTTTCTAGGTGTTAACATGTTCTTGTGGCATTTTTCTGATGTTACAGGACATATCTTGAGAAAAATCAGCTCAAAGTTGTATTTCTGAGTATTTCTACATTCAAATGGCTGTGAATCAGTAGCAGACGCTAAAATGCCGGCTAAAATCGACTGGAGTTGTGACGTAGTAACTCCACTGGGCGTCTCCACACGCGACGTCTTGGAGTGAAATAATGATCGGTGATCGGTGATAACTTTGATTAACTTCGGATAATAATAATTAACGTGTATATAATACTGTTGCCCCACCGGTATTGGGGGTGTAAGCTAGCGGGAGAGACAGAGCTCTCAGCAACGTGCAGGGGGAGGGTCGTCTCCGTGCCAACGGCTCCGCCCACAACGCAGAGGCGAATTGCTAATGAGCTACTGCCGCTCTGCTGAAGCAAAGTCCCAGAAAACGGCACAGGTTTTGTGATTTTGGCTAAAAATTGCATAATCATAATTTAAAGACCACTGGGAATGTTTAAAAATAGCTCAAAATATGATCGGAGTGGGACTTTAAGGTGTCAGAAACAGTGGGTCCCATTCACTAATAATTGCGTGGATTATTTTGTATTCGTTCGCACTTATCATGAAAAATTTCCACCTAATTCACAACACATGCGTAGTGCACACATGAATTTGTTCTTAATCTCTTTCTAATGTTAGTGAATTTGGACTATTGTAAATGAGCCGCTATGTGCACAAGGTTAGTCATTTGCATAAAATACGCCTAAATCATCTCCATATAAGGGCTTTCAGCACAACCTTTCCTTTACAGCTTTTCGTCACTCAAGTCAAACATACTGTATGCCGCTCTCTGCAGACGCACTCGCCAGATCCTCAAGCAATGCCAAGTGTGTCATTCTCAAAACCAGTCCAAACACAATAAACACCTTTTATACAGACCCAGATTAGACCTTTCATTGCTATATATGATGAATATATTTAAGATGAATTCTGTTTGCATTTAAATATTTTCCTTTTTATCATTTTAAAGCTGTATTTATTAGTTGTATTATGCAGTTTTATACAAAAATAATGTAATGTAATGCAATATAATTATAGTCGTTTCAAGTCACCTTTGTACTACTTTATACAATACAAATTGTTTCAAAGCAGCATTACAGTGAAAAACAGGAAAATGACGATTAAATGATGCAAACAGAATTCAACTCTGCTGTAAAGCAGCTCTAAAAAGACAATAGTAAACAGTCATTCTGTTGAAGTCAGTTCAGTGTTGATTCATTTCAGTTCAATAATTGTGTAAAGTACATCAATTATGAAATGAGTTCAATTCAGCTAAAGGTAAAACAGCTCTGTAGAAAACAGTGTGCAGAGGACATGTTCTTGTGGTCTTTGTGCCTTGTGGGCTGTGGATCTGTGCCGATGGCTGTCGTGTCGACGAGGTCTTCATAGGTGATTGTTCTAGTTGACACGGTATCTGCTGACATACAGGTCTGCGATGAGGTTGTGACTAGGTGCAGGTCCACCATCTGATCTGGATACGACCCGGATCTGGCTGACTACGGTAACCTCGGGAATCGGGATAAGGATGAGATAGACTGATATTAGCATAAATACCATTCTTCATACGATGTAACAAGTACATCTGGTGTTGTGGGAAGTCAGCAGGCTTTGTGAATGAGACCCATTGTTCTTTCCAACAACACAAATTACATTCTGTGTATGTATACAGATGGTTAATTTACCAAGGTTACAGCAGTAAATGACGTGTCACCCTTAGCTCAGGACTCATTTACCTGCAAGATGTAAAGCTAAATATGGACAGCATCTGGCAATACTTTTGAGTAAGTTAGCTGGGTCTTTACACATGAACAAATGGCCTTTTATCTTGTACTGGATTTATGCCACAGATCAGCCTTAATTTACCTGTTTGAAGTTCTGATTGATTATGTAAACAACAATTTCAACCCAAGCAGCTTTTAATCTAAAAAAACAATTTCAATAATTGTTTTTGTGACAAATTCTGTATAATTTTTATGTAAATGTACTTGTTACATTTTTAAATGTGTGTTTTTTTTTTTTTTGTTTTTTTTTTTTTTTTTTAAACACTGAATGTATTATAGCCTATTGGTAGCACTTTTGCAGTTATCCTTTGTCTTCCATGTGTGAAATTATGTTTTTGTTTTTATCCATCTGCTGTGTTGTGACCTAAAGTGTGGTCTAAATAAAAATACACACAAATGTGTTCTCAATTTCAGTGATACTATTACAAAAATAACGTTTTTTTGCAAGTATATAAAGTTTTTTACTTATTATGTAGGCCTGTTGTTATTGCTGTGTGCAAAACAGAAATTTATAGGCTCCTATTTTCTATTGCAATAATGTAAAACAAACTATAGTCAGATTTAGGGTAAACGCTTTATTTTGCGATATTTACCAAATAATATTAACATAAATAAATAAAAAACACTGATAGTGAATCGTGAGCAAAATTGAATTAGGCTACTAAATGAAAAATATATATATATTTCAATAGCCTAAATCTCAATATAAATGTTTATTTGTATTGTTTAAGTGTCCCCTAGCCCCCTCCCTATTTTGAATACCATGCTATATAGGCCTAGAACATTCATCATCACAAACACCTCTTATCTTCAACGCAAATCTTCTATCAACACATGAAACTAGTTCATTAAAAAATATCGGACTCAGCTAGTGAAGATTCTGGTGGGCTTGTTTGTTTTATCAATCAGGCGCTCCTCCAGTTGTCTCTGGACTCCAATGCCCACAACTCTTCCCGTGATGACGCCGCCGGAGCAGCGCACAACGCGTCTCACGCAACGCTCTGTGTTTTGGAGAAGAACAGAAGATGGCGACCTCAAACAATCCGCGGAAATTTAGCGAGAAAATCGCCCTTCACAACCAGAAACAAGCGGAGGAGACCGCGGCGTTTGAGGAGGTCATGAAAGACCTGAGCATCACGCGAGCTGCACGGGTACGTGTGTCAGAAACGGATACGTGTGTCGCGAATAAACGCGCGCTTAGCACAGCTGCTATGTATAGATTATAGCCTGTATATGATTTGAGAACACTTTTGTCGCCCGAGAGCCGTGACAAATCGGTGAAGGACGATAATGATGTCTCAGGGTTTGAGCGTAACGGGAGGCCGATCGGATGCATGAGATCAGAGATGCTGAGGATGCGGCCGGACAGATGTCGTGCACATCTGTTTTGGCCGCTAATGGATTGTGATTGCTTTTCGGTCTTTTATTTCTTGGCTAAATAATGAAATGTCATATAGAGTAGACCGTGGATAGTTGTCATATAGGCAAGTTGTCACAAAATATGTAGGCTATTATTGGATTTGAGTTAAAAGTCTACACGTGTGCATTGTAGCAGTTTTGTATATTTGATTAAATTCAACTAGGATTTAAATGTCATGTTTTTGTAAAGTAAGTAAATGTAGTAAAACCATACTGGGATGCATAATGAAGATATATTCAGTGTTACTATTGTTAAATACAACTAATACAATAAAAAAAAACATTTTCATTACTAAATATTTCAATTAACATTAAATCAAATTAAATTAAAAAACATTAAGGATCATTTTATTTCAGCGTGTTGAAACATTTCTAATTTTTTTTTGTTTAACTTGAAGTGATAATAAAAAAAAACTACAACAAATAAATAAGAATGAATAAAAACTATAGACATACAAATAAAAGACTAATACAAATGACAAAAATACACAACACTATTACTAAATCTTTAAAATGAAAACATCTAATTCAAAATATTAAAATCTTTAATATTATATCAATGATACTAAAATATAACCGGATAGATATTGGTATTTTTTATAAATGTCAGGTCAGGGAATGTTGTCACGTGTTTTATGTTTTTTTTTGTTTTTTTTTAATAATTTGTTCATTATAATTTGACCAAAACAATGGTTTGGTATGTTTTTGTATGGGACTTTTCCATTTTTATTATTGTTCCATTATGATTAATGTTATTTTATTTAAATGACTGATTACCTAACTTATACATACGTAAGTTGTTGAATGTCCCTGTTTACTTTTATTTGATAGGGTTTTATACATTTCTTCTTCTCAAATCATTGTCAATAGACGGTATGTTGTGACAACTTGCCCCACTATTGGTCAACATAAGTTAAATGAACTGTTGTTGTTGTTGTTGTTTTTTCTGTGAAATGTTCTAAACTTATTTTAGTCATGACTTCAAGTTTAACTTTTGAAAATAAAGAAATATTCACAGGAGGAAAATGTCTGGCATTTAGCCCTGGCCTCTATTGAAATACAGCCTATTATGTCCCTTGGTATTGAACTTATGACATTAGTGTGAGTCACATAAGTTGAAACCCATATTCTGCTACTTTTTGTTAACTCTCACTGGTCTGCTTTTCTCATTCTTCACTTGATAAAGTGTTTTTACTCCCCAGTATCTGGTTTACGTTTCATTCATGCTTTCATTTCGTCATTCACTGCTGCTTTTCACGCACTGTTATTTTGCACAGCTGCAGTTACAGAAGACCCAGTATTTGCAACTAGGCCAGAATCGAGCTCAGTGCTATGGAGGGTCACTGCCCAATGTCAATCAGATTGGAAATAGCAACACTGACCTCCCTTTTCAGGTGAGACCTTAGAAACTTCATAAGTTTGAAAATTCTGTCGTACACACATGCTGTCACTTTATGATTGAATTTCTCTTCAGCTGATCTAATTACAATTATATAAACATCATAACTGATGAAACTCATAGTGCAAGATGGGTCATTTCTCTTATGCAGTACCTTTTCAACTAACTAAAAAAATTTAATATGCTTGTGATGTACTCTAAGTTAAGCTTAGATGCTTTGAGACACTTCTACTCTAGTAATTATAGCTAGATTGACACAACTGGTAAGAAAATGAACCTTATGAAATAACACGATGGGCATAACAACTAAAGTTAGTCATTACTCAGTGAGATATTGAGCATTAGCCAACATGAGAGTATCTTTTTCTGTAGTGCTGTCAATCGATACAAAAAAAAACGAATTAATCACACATTTTTCTGTAATCTCGATTAATCGCACCTAACATTAAAGTTTTAAATATATTTTTATATTGTAATACTTTCACATTGAATCTCCAAAATAATGTTGATACAACATAAAGATGGTATATTTTAAATATTTGTTTAATGACATCTTTTTAGTAAGCCAGTATAAAGGACAGTATCACTGATATACTGATTTGTCTCTATAAAATTGATTTTCCCCCTCATTATTTACCCTAGTAAATAATAATAATAAAAAAACTATACCAAAATGTATTAAAAATACATTATGTTCATACTAAGTATATTAAAAGTCCATTAACATTTACTGACATATTGCTTGAGACTTACTGATATAAATATTATAATTAAGCTTTATTTGGGTTACTTTATTGCACAAAATATTCATGGCCCCCAGAATATTTTATTGTATGAATATTTGAACATGGAATACGTCAAAAGAAAGAACAGACCCTCTGCTTTTAAACAGAAAACTAGTTGTATTGTTACAGATCTATGAGGGAGGACTCAAATGCAGAGATGAGTGATCAGGGGTTTATTTGAAAGACAGCAGACAAGACAGGATATTGCGAGGGAGAGAAGGTGAACAGTCCAAACAGTAGGCAGGGATGAGGCACAAAGACAGGCAGGCGACCGCTGAATCCAACCTAGGATGACAGTAGGAGGGAGGGTAGACACAGAATGGCAGCAAGAGACTGGAGGAGAACAGTAAGTGGCAGGCAGGATCACACAGTACAAGGGGATCGACTCTCAGGGCACGAACAATTACTGCACCGGTCTTGCTGCTTGGCTGATGGTGTAAGTGGCCATGGGAAGCTCAGCTTGGAGGACAAACTAGGGAAGACAAAAGACACAGCAAGGGGAAGACAAAAGACACAGCAAGAACAAGACACGACGAGACTAGCACACAAAGTTTATGGCACACAGAAAGTATATACTGAACTGGCCAAAACCTGAGGGCAAGAGAACACATATAAAGGGAGCTGCTGCTGAGAACAAGAGGAGCAGGTGAGCACACTCAGACAAGGAACAGGTGAACACACTCAGGCAAACGAGGACTTAACTAAACAAGAGGGCGTGGTACTGGGAAACAAGGAGGCGCACATGGAACAGAGGAGCACATGGCCAACACAAACAAAGACAGAGCCATATGTTCAAGCACAACACAAACATAGGCTGCGTTTACACTTGGCATTAACATGCGACCTGTATCCGGATGTTGTCCACATACACATTGAAAAGACAAGTGTAAACGCGCTTCTGATCGGAATGTTATCCGATCAGCGTGTCCAGGTTCAGAGGTAGTCGAGGACTCATTGACCCCATTTACACCTGGTATTAAAATGAGATCTGTATCCAGATAAGTTATCCGTATAATAAGTGTTCTGATCTTACCTTTGCGTTTACACCTTGTATTTTTAATGCGTTCTCGTTATCCACATTGAGTTCGGATCTCTGTCCTCCAGAAAAAAAAAAGAAAAAAAAAAGACGTTTGGCAGGTACGAATGCCATCACGTCGTACGGATTGCGTTTACACATAGTAAAGATCCGAACACAATGGGAGCCAGACTACCTCCAGATGTGGTCAGGCAGATCCGATCACAATCCGATCTCAACATATTTACACCTTGCATTAACATGCGTTTTTTATTATCCGGATAACTTATCTGGATACAGATCGCATTTTAATGCCAGGTGTAAATGGGGTCATTGTGATCGGATCTCAGTGTAATGTAAACGCAATCCAGGCATCGTGGCTGCATTCACAGGTGGACGTCACACAAAACCCCGCCCACTGTCATTATTTACATTACTGCATCTATCCACATTATTAGTACTTGCAGCCTCTTCATACTCCTCATTTTCCGAGATTTGTAAAATGTACCCTGACTGAAAACTGTTTTTAGAAGAAAACCCACCACTTCAGGTCGACTTTGCCATCCTTTTTTTTCTTTTTTTTCGGGAATGTGAGATCCGATCTGTGATCCAGATACAGAAGCCACTTGATGTGGACAGGTGTAAATGCACCATGTCCTGATTGGCTTATGATCCGATCTGCTTGATCGGATCACGGTGATCGCATGTTAATGCCAAGTGTAAATGCAGCCTGAAACAAAGACAACACAGACAAAGCTGCCAGGGCAGAACCCTGACATTTATTCTAGCTTAACACATTCTTTCCAATTTAGCACAATCAAATGTACTTAAGTATATCTTTAGTTGGACCTCAGCACTATTTCCGGATAATTAAAGTGCATTTACAAAATTAGTTGTTCCAATTTAGTACTTTAAGTATATCAGTTTACTATACCAAAGGTACAATTGCAGGGTATTTATAGTACCATAAAGTTCATATATGGGGCGGCAGTGGCTCAGTGGTTCATGTGGGTTGTCTACAAACCGGAAGGTTGGTGGTTCAATCCTCGGTTCCACCGAGGCAAATTGTAAAGCGCTTTGGTGGCCATTGGGTCTGTGAAAGCGCTATATAAATGCAGTCCATTTACCATTTATATGTACATGCATTTGTTGTATACTTAGCATAACATAAGTGTATTTCTAATACATTTTGGTATATTTATTTTTCACCAGGGTATAGCCATTCAACATTACAGGATAATTGAATAGGCTATAAAAAAACACTTTTTAATTTAAGTGAACTTACAATCTTCACATAAACCCATTGTAATAAATGTCACATTTAGATGTGCTTTTAATATATTTGAGCTCAACACTAAGATTTTCTTTCTACTGGACCAGTCGGGCCAGTTCAGACTTTTACATGACCTGCTAAAATGCACAAAAAAATTATTGTTTTTATTGTTTTTGACCCAGGTAACCTTCTAAACAGTGATTTAAGATTTCCATGTACTGTAGGTCTTACAGGTAAATATACAGAAAATAAACACATTAATGACAGACAGCAGCAGGTTTATTAGGCTGCTGTCACTTTAATAACTGATACACATGAAGCGGATCTGACACCCTGTTTTCTCACAACTCTTTACGTTCATTTAACTTTTTAACTCATTTAAGACTGTGCTTACGAGGAATTTTGTGTGGTTTCTTTTGTCCGATCAAGTGTGAAAGAGAACTCAGTGGGGTGCTGCCGTGCTGTCTGAAGCGACATTCTGTGCACATGTTTCGGGTGTTAGTTCACAGAGAGACACTTCAAAGACAGCGCACCAGTACAGATTTGAGTTATTTTTTGTGTTTCAAATATTTTTATTAGAGCACATGTTCATATCGTTATAATTTCAACATCATACACAGGAGTATAATGTATAACCACATAGAAATGTGTGCAGTTAGGACATACAGTCCTCTTTTTGTTTTAGAACATACAACAATGTCAAAAACAAATAATAATATAAAATAAAAACAGAATCAACAGATAAACATAGAATATAGAGAAAAAACAACAACAAAAAAAACCTAAATAATCCCTCTTTCCCACCCTACCCAGCCTAATCCTTCCGTCTAGATATTACTTTATTATAGTTAGAGGGAAACATTAATTTCCACTGCCAGGAGAGAGATAGTGAATGAGAGGTGACCACACTTTTTTTTAAAGTGTGGGAGTTTATCCATAAGAATATATTTTATTCTCTCTAAGTAGAGAGTGTTAGTAAGATCACTGAGCCATAACTTTGTGGTGGGTGCTTCTTTATTTTTCCAATGCATGAGAAGTAGCTTCTTTGCGGTGATGAGACTATAGGACAGGAGGCATTGTTGATAGTTGTTTAACCTTTTAATATCCTCTGAAATTCCTAAAATAATGATGAGAGGATTAGGCTCCAATTGTATTTTAAGTATCCTAGAAATTAAACTGAAGATATTAAACCAAAAGATTTGAGTTATTTTTTGCGTATTATCACGCTTGAATGATTTAATACCACTTGAATGAATGATAGCGTGATCATATACTGTAGCGCAGCCAAAGGATGAAAGATAGAAAATGCATGCTGCGTTATAGTTGAACCGAAAAAAAATCAATAGCAAAATTAACGTGTTCATTTTGACATCCCTAGTATATTGTAATACCGATTTCTGTAATTTTATCAAACAGGACAAAATAGAGTGAGACACATCCTTTGCTAATACTTACTTATTGATGTTTGTCAAATTCCTTGGATGAGGTCATTAAGACTTTTCTTTTAGTTAAAGGAGAAAATATAAAATATCAGAAAATATCAAATGCAAAATAGCAATATTATCAAATCAAAGGAAATTTTAACCATTTGGATTTGAGATAGAAAAACGTCTCTGGATACTATCGTAACCTCAGTTCCCTGAGAGGCGGGAACGAGACATTGCGTAGCTACGCTGCGGGAACTCCTTGCTTCTCCACTTTTGTTAAAATCTTATGGGTTAACCCCAGCTTGGAGCAGCCAACCAATTGTTGCGAAGTATGCAAATACTGACAGGCTCGCGGGCAGTATAAAATGCATGGACGCGACAATTGCGTCAGAATCATGACTGAACGCTGCACAGCTGATCGAACAGTGAACACGGTGGCTAACGCAATGTCTCGTTCCCGCCTCTCAGGGAACCGAGGTTACGATAGTAACCGGAGACGTTCCCTTTAGAGAGCAGTAACTCTACATTGCGTAGCTGCGCTGCGGGAACTGTATTAAATCCTGCCGTGAGAGTAGTGAAGATAAGCCCGTGGAAAAACGGGGCCAAGCTACACCAGCCACGGAAGAGACAGACAGTCAGCCAATAGCCGCGCCACTAGGAGTGCTCGCATCTGATAGGCCGAACTAGACCAATGAGACATCATCCCTGACCCTATCAAAATGTGCATATACAAGTGCAATGAAAGCGAAGGCTGCACTGATCCAGGGCAGACACAACACAATAAGCACTCAAGTATGAAAGTAAACACAGTGTCAACGGCATTAGCAGTAACAGCTGTATTAAGCACTAGTAACCATATACACAGAGTCAACAGCATAGCGGTAACCACTGCGTACAACTAGAACAGTTCACAATACATGAGTAAGGAACTTAACTCACCGAAAGCACTTGAGACGCCACAGACGGTACATCCAGCTTGTAAAATTTGGCGAATGTGTTCTGAGAAGACCAGCCAGCAGCAAAACATAAATCCTGGATAGACATACCTCTAGACCAGGCCCACGAAGAGGCAACAGCCCTCGTCGAATGAGCTCATATGTTAGGGGGACAACCTTCCCCTGGCACGTGTAAACCAGCGCGACAGCGTCCACAATCCAGTGAGAAAGTCTCTATTTTGAGACAGTTGATGTCTTTCCCTTAGTACAGCAACCAAAGCACACGAAAAGCTGGCCCGACTGAAGGAAGGCGGCCGCGCGATTCACATACATCCGCAAAGCCATGTTACAGGGCAAACAGCGCTCTGAGCGTCAGCGTCATGCGAGGATGACAGCTCAGCAGATAAGCGGGCAGGGAAACATTATGTGCTTTAAAGTGTGTAACGTTAGAGAGGGACGTAGCCCCGTCTCGGCCGGAGAGTAACACTGTAGTCGCCGGGTCCGAAAAAGATAATATCACCGTCCATGAGAACACGTGTAAGTCTCCAATGCACTTAGCTGAAGCAAGGGCATGGAGCAGAGCCGTTTTTAAAAAAAAATTTTAGGGAGAGCTCCTTAACAGCAATCGAAACTAAGAGCTTTGAAGTTGGTAGAGAATGAGCCCTCAAAACTAGAACTAGATCCCACGGCGGCACTGAAGGCTGCAGTGAAGGACATAATCTCCTCGCTCCCCTGAGAATCTGACCACCAGAGCATGCCTTCCGATCGATTGCCTGTAACCGGGGAACGAAACGAAGCAGTAGCGGCCACATATTCCTTCAGCGCGGGTGCACTCACATTATTTTCCAGTCTGTGTTGTAGGAAGCGCCAAACATCCGACACGGGTGGGAACCATCGGGTCAACGTCAGTATCCTGGCACCATTTACACCAATCACAGAGTAGAACAACAGCCAATAGCGTCGCTCCTCTAGGAGGGCTTACAGCTGATAGGCAGGCCCAGACCAATAAGCTGCTCAGCTCAAGTACACCAGAATTTGCATATCAGCTAGAATCTTAGGCTGTACTGAAAAATACAGAGCAGCATAACAGCACAACAGCATAATCACATATCAGTATGTACATAAGCACAGCGTCAGCAGCCGTAGCGGTGACAACTGTGAATATACGCAGTTAGATCAGAACAGCCAGTTGCACTGAAGGATACAGGGCAACAAAACGGCATACATACACAACAACTGTGAATATACACAGTTAGATCAGAATAGCCAGTTGCACTGAAGGATACAGGTCAACATAACGGCATAAACACATATCAGTATATGTACTTGAGCACAGCGTCAGCGGGCGTAGTGACGACAACTGTGAATATATGCAGTTATATCAGAAGTTGCACTGAAGGATACAGGGCAACATAACGGCATAAACACATATCAGTATGTACATGAGCACAGCGTCAGCAGCCGAAGTGGCAACGACTGCACAAACCCGTAGTCAAGACTCAAGACTAGGAGATAATTGAGGATAATCATTTACCGAAAGCACTGTTCTGTGAAGATCAGCTGGTTGCAAAACATACAACCCTAAAGACGCGCTTACATGGCCCATGAAGAGGCGATAGACCTCCACGAGTGAGCTTACATGTTAACGGGGGTCTTTCCTCCTGAACGTGCGCTAGTGAAGTGCTTGGTTGATGGGTCTCGGGTCCAGTATCAGACGGAGTCCTCCATCCCTCTTGGGCACCACAAAATAGTGGCTGTGCACTTCCATTCTTAGAACGGGGCGTTTTAAGGCAAAGTCAGTGACGGGCCCACGACTGACTTGGGGTGGTCTGAGTCTGGACTGAAGAGAATACCTGTGTTGAATTATCGCCAGTAGCCAAGGTGAAACGCCTGGAATAATTGTCCACGCGTCTAGAAAATAACACCGCGGCCATATTAATTCTATGGCCAGTTTGTAGACTGGAGCCCTGCCCCAGCCAGGCTGGCTGCCGATCGGGCATGAGCGGTGTCGTACACGGCGGGGGAACATTGGCACTCTCGTGTTTTTCCATCAGGAGGCCATTACAGGCACAGACTGCGACTCCGTGCTGCTCTGGGGCAGGGTGAGTGACACAGTGTTGAGTGTATGAGGAGGAAAAGGCCCTTTGTGTGAAGGAATATGTTCTCTTATTGTGGAGCTCACACAAACAGCACACAAATATTGCAAATGTCGCCTACAGGAACAGAGGAGACATGATGCAGAACACAGCGCTTGGGGGTGGGGCCTCCAACGAACTCGGTCCTCCTTTTGGATGGTCCGTATGATGAAGGCTTGGCAGCCAAGGACGCCGCTCTCTGTGATCCGTGACGCTACATTCCAGATACGTTCCCGACTGCCTACGGCGAACATCTGGCTCAGCCGATCTTAGGCGGGACAAGGTGCCGACGAAGAGAGGGACCTCGACGAGGGCTGGAACGAGCGACATGGCAATATTCGTGATCGAGAAATGCTCAGTAACTGACTCCACGGCGTCAACAAGGAGGCCGGAGGGAGTGATTGGAGCCTTTCTTTTTTCAGCCAGATGAGCCGTGAACTTGCACGGCTTGGACTGCAAGCTGAGATCCGCGGCCAGAGACGAACGGACGGGCACAGATGCACGGCGACGGTCTCCTCGACGGGGGTCATGCCCAGAGAAACGTGAGCTTCCGCCTCATCCCTTTGGACGCGCGCCGCGTCCCTTTACCATGTGGTCGTGGATTTCGTGAAGAACGGAGTCCTCCAACGGAGACTAGAGTTACCAGACTTACTTCCTTTTTACCGGAGCATTTCGTGTCGAGTCCAGCGCGTCCACGAAAAGGAGTGTGTAAAGATCCACAAATCCTGCTAAAGTTAGCCATCGGATGCGAGGAAGAAAAGGTAACTAGTCCTCAGGTGCAACTTCAACGATGACAGCGTGAAGAAAGAGATTCTGATGCAATTGTCGCACCCATGCATTTTATTGTGCCCGTGAGCCTGTCAGTATTTGTATTCTTCGCGACAATTGGCCACCTATTCCAAGTTGGCGTTTGCACAAAATATTTTTAAAAAAGTGAAGAAGGGAGGAGTTCCCGCTGTGTAGCTACGCAATGGAGAGTTACCGCTCTCGAACAGGAACTATGAAGAAATATCTGGAATGTTTCTTAATAAGTTTACCATGTTTAATGTTCATAATCACTTGGGGACATTAATTGTTATATTATGATAAAAGAAAAACATATTTTTGTTAAATGTTTTGTTTGAAAAGTATGTTTATTCTATACTTCTTGTCACTTGCTTTGACATTCTGATATATAGTCCAAAGACGTTCGGACAACTTAAATACTTTTTGGGTACACTACTGTATATATGATGGAGTCACCCAGAACACCCACACCGAAAGCAAATTACTAACCAAAGATTCATATTATATTATTGGTTGTCCTAAGGAATGTCTATTTAATGATTTAGTTAAATGTAACAAAGCTGATGGAAACATGCATTTGCACAAGTGTCATTTCAAGTATCATTTTATCATTGCTATTCATTTATGATGCATTAGCATAAGAATGTACAAGATGGTTCTCATTGCTCTAAGCTTTCATACTGCTAGTCCATCTTCTGTGTGGAGCCTGTTTAATGATTTTATTTGCCCCACACTGCAGCAAAAGTTCCCATACCTTTTCTAAAGAAAATGCATCTTAGAAGATCACATAAACAAATCAGATTATTTTACAGTCGACAGTTCTAGACACCAGTCGGACGTCCCGACATCATGGCCTGGTGGACCGCGTGTATCGTGACAGGAATCGCATCGCTTCTCCACATCGTAGACCTCTCTCTGTGGACAAGCATGGACGTCAGATATCCTTTATCATACACAGCTAGTTTTACCCGACTGTGGTGTATTTTATGTGCGTGTACATGTGTGAGACATTGTCCTTAGCCCAGTTACATTGACAGCTGCCCCTACAGCTCGGTATATCTGTCACCACCTCCCGACACAAGTTGGAGGAGGTAAAGCAATTTTCCTCACAAACTATGAAACAAAACATGTTTAAAGGTCATGAATCATTGTTTCTTCTGTTCCCAACTCTACTACAGGACCAACTCTGACTCGGCACTACACCAGAGCGCTGTGAATCCAGCTCAACAGGACACTTTTGTTAGTGGATCTCAAGAATTGCAGTCAAAAGGAGTGAAAACATGTAAGAGTTTGGGAGGTTTTTTTTTATTAGTTTTTTTATTTGTGAAGATACATGTGAATTGGAATTAGAATGAATTTTGATATGTTTGTAGTGTGTAAATTCAAAAAATATTGTAAAGGGTGATACAACTGTCCTGATAAAAAAAAAAAAAAAAAAAACTTCAGAAAAAAAAACCTTACCTCATTAAAATTAAAATTAAAAAATCTTCAGAAGAAGTTAGTAAGTTTGGCATATCTTTTTATTATTTTATTTAATTATTTTAAAATAAAAGTTTTTCCCTGCTTTTTAATATTTAAAGTGTCCCTATTATGCTATTATAAAGGTACTATCTGACAAAGTCTGTTTTTGTATATAATGATTAAGATTATTTACACTCATATGGACAGGAAATTGTATAAAGGTTAAACACACACACAAAACCAGAACATTTCTTATCATGTGTTTTTAAAATATTTTTCCTTTTCTTTATCGTGGACACTCTATTTGTCATGTAATTGTAAGATATTGTTTTTCCTCATTTACAATGACTAGTTGGAGTTCATCCTCCTCTCCATCTCCCTCTTTCTTCAGTGCTGTTGCTCACCCCTCCAGATACAGAGGACACTGAGTCAGAGATGGAGAAAGACGAGCCCAAAGCATCTCTGCATACAGAGTCATGTGATGTTCCTGGGATTAAGTGAGTTTGTCATGACATGTTTTTTATGTATTCATTTATTTATTTATTTATTTATTATTATTTTACCTGTGTTCTGGACAAACATGTAACACTTGAATAATCTTTGATTTAGCATCAGTAGAGAAAAGGAGGTGTGGCAGCAACTTTAGATGCAAGATCCAAAATTAATACTCACCATGTGCCAAAATGGGGTAACATTTTTTTAATTAAAAATGAAATAATAAAATATAGTTTGCAGTGGCCATTTGTCGAGTAACTTTATTAGGAACTGAAATAGTACATGGTTTTAATTGAACATGGTTTTAATGGTTGTACAATGGTACAATGGTACATGGTTTTAATCGGAATGCAGAAGTGCTCCGTTTGAGAGGATTCCAGAGAACGCAGTCAAGTAACTTTGGTTCCGACCACATTAGTTCCCAAGCAAAATAGAGGAGAGGTTTATAATTTGAATTTGATAAGAAGGCGCGCAACACTATTTATAGGCAAGATTTTCGCGCTAGAACGCTTGTTTTTCAGCGGGAATGCAAATTAGAATAGCTCTTAACCATGAACACAAAAGCCACACCACACAAATGGCTTTTAATTGGTTTATTTCGTTAGCAAACATGTCACTATAATTGTTAAGTTCTTTCTATCGATCAATTTTCTGCAAAAATAACGATCGACATGCTTGTTTGCTTTACGGCCCCTTTAAATAAAGTTTAAAAAAAGACCAAACATTCGATCTACGTCAGAGCATCAGAGCGTCCACGAATCTATCCACGGCGTCGCTGGCAGGGCGGTGAGAGCGAATTTTGCCGCTCTCGCCGGCGGCGGTGTGAACGTACAGTTAGTATTATACTCTGTGATATGAGAGATTTAGACATACTGTACAAATCTGTCATGATTGTTATAAAATATTTTACCCTTGGAGCAAACTTCAATTTTTACATGATGCCTAAAGTTTATTTTTCTCCAGAATTTCATGTGGATTATTCCTCACATAGGCAACCATAACGAAACAATAAGAAACAAATCCACAATACTGTAGGCCTTTACATTTTTGTGATAGATGTAAAATGTTATTTTATTGCCATAAGGAAATGTTTAATGGCTGGTAAATATTCTCAAATCATCCTTCATTGGCAGGTAAAACAGAATGTTCATTTTGAGCCATATTTGGGTGAATAATTAATATAGAAATTATATTTTGCTTCAAGAAATATAATATTTGCCTGATTTTAAGCTTTTTTTTACTGTGAGATTATGTTCATGGTAATTTAGCACATTGTCCCTCCAGATTCCTATTACTGTAATGTGAAAATAAAACAATAAATAATTGTAGTTTGGAAAGTATATAGATTTGAAAGTATTTTAAACTGCCTTTATATAATTTTTCAATTGAAATTACATTTTGATCAGTGTTGTTTTTAGTTGAGATATTGATATGGTTGGCTTGGCAACTAGTTGAAAAAATTATTATATTTAAATATTTTATTTTATTTCAGTATTTTAAGTAACGAACGTTTCGTTTTAGGGTTAGCACAACCGTGGTTTAAATAATGATAAAAAATTGTAGAATTAGTTTTTGTTCTAAAAAAAAAAAAAATTGTATTTCAGTAATGACAATTTAATGAGATTTGGGGTGGGATGAATTGCGCTTTATTGTAATGAATCTTAATTTCAAGACAATTAAGTAAAATTAAGCTAACTTTAACCCTTAACCTCTTAATGGTAAATTTTAAATAAATAGCATTTTCGTCCAGCAAAATATACAGTAAATATTTATAGTTTCATGAGATTTAGCATATGGAGGGTATTCACAGCATATTCTGTTTAATTTTTCCAGCATATTTCCATCTCCTGATCAAGAAATGAATAGCTCTTTGATGCCAGCTGCTCACAGCACAGGCGGCTCCTTACCTGATCTGACAAACATTCAGTTCCCTCCTCCTCTCCCCACCCCGCTGGATCTAGATGACCCAATTACCTTTCCTACGTCCAGCTCCAGTTGTACCAGCAACCTGACCACCAACCTGACACACTTGGGCATCAGTGCTGCCAGTCACGTCCCTCCCTCCCCACCTGCCCAGCACACTGGCCCCGTCCCCTCACCCAATATCAGCCTACAGCAGCCAGCTCCCACGCTACCACCTGCGGTCTCACCTCAGATACCCATCGCACAGGTAAGCCAGCCTCCCTAAACAGCGCAGTCTGTTAAAGGGTTTTATTTTTATTTCTAGCAATATTTCCAGGTCTCATGAAAATCTGATTCTGATCTTTTAGTATACAGTATATATTGTTTTCGACAATAACACAATCAAGCAGTTGAGATTTGCAATTCAGTATTTACTATATAGCAAATCTCAACTGCTTGATTGTTTCATTGTTGAAAAATGGAAACTATATATTACCTGCTGATATATTAAAAGGTGGATATATAGTACTTCCTACTTTACCTGCATACACACATTACACTCATGTAAAGGAATACTATATAACAAATCTCAACTTTGTGATTGTTTATATCGTAAATAAATGTAAACTTTATCACACAGCTCTCTATATAAAATTGGATATATATTATATCCAACTTTATCCGCATACATGTTATGCACTCACGTAAAGTCGACTATAGCAAATATCAACTGCCTATTTTTTCATTTCCTTGCAAAATGTAACTATATTATTCAGATCTCTAATTGAGATCTGAATCAACTGAGAAATCAATCAATTATTTGAGCAATCAAGTATGTCTCTAAATGCATGAGTCTACAATTTGTCAATCAAAAAAAATTTATTCAAAATAGCAACAGATGATATAAAAATTGAAAAAAGTGCTTAATTGCATTTTTAGATTTTTCTTTATTGACCTTGTATTTTTTTTAAATGTATTTGTCACACTGTGGGATCATTGACAATGAACTAGTAATAAATGTATGGGTTTATGACATTTTTTTTAAGACCATTTTTTTTGTGCAAAATATCCTTGTTCATAACACGAACATCTGATTTGTTGACTGTATGTTGTTATCACAGCCAATCACGATGGACAGTCTGTCACTGGAGCAGCAGCTGTCTCAGTACTCACTGCTGAGTTTACTGAATGACCTGCAGAAACAGCCGCATACCCTTCCTCAGAACATTCGTCTCATACGGCTCCCTCCTCTCACCGTAAGCTCCACCGTCCAGACCTCTCTTGCCAGCCAATCAGAGACAGCCACAAGTGGAACTGCCAACTCAGTAAGTTTTTCTTCTAGTGTACGCACTTTGCTTTAGGTTGATATGTCAGTTATCTCAAATTCAACACATCACTTTTACTCCCAAAAGTATCGCAGTCAGACCGGCTCTTCAACCAATCAGTCACCAACATCTCCAGTGTCCAATCAGGGCTTCTCACCTGGCGGTTCACCACAAGTAAGCATGACACCTCTACGGTTTCATTCTTCATTTGATGAATTTTTGTAATTTTGTGTTTATTGGCATCTCAGAGTGTACTTCTCTATTGCCACCACTTTCAGTACACACACTTTCACACTGTTACAGTACATCTGTTTGTTGTTGTGTTATATCTGGCTAATTTCCTTTAGATATGATGTTTATCCCTGCGTGAGTTCCTGTGTTTCTCCTTAGTATTTTGGAATATAATAAAGAATGTCTACTTCATCTTCGTGCATGCTTACCACAGCGTTACATTGTTCTTAATGGATCTATTTTCATAGCATATTCAGGTGGTTGGGAGCATCTTTGGAGATTCATTCTATGATCAGCAACTTCCGTCCAGACAGACCAATGCCCTATCTAACCAGGTACATACATGTGTGGAATTTAAAATCACTCTTTAGATTAAGATATACCATTTTAAAACAAACAACAACAACAACAAAACTCTGAAACCCTTTCACCAATTGAAAATCAAGGCTGACTTCAGCTTAAGAGTGAGTCATGGCTGATTCAGAGAGGAAGTGAATTGCCTGATTAATTCAGTTCATGATTTAGACCGATAATTCAGTTCAGTTCAGATCCAGACAAGCAAAACAACTAGTTTAGGGCTGTTCTTTGTGATGAACCAATCAACCGATTTCTTCACAAGTTGGTCATTACATTATGGTGCAGTGCATGTTAGTTTTTGTTATTATAAATGATACATTTTTTTTTTTTAATTTCTCAAAATAGATAGATAGATAGATAGATAGATATTTTTTTGCATTTTATATATATATATATATATATATATATTGAGGTTGCACAATATTAGATTTTTCACACCATGGTTATCATGGGAAAAAGAATTCATGGTAACGATATATTGCAATATCTATAGAAACCTTGACAAAACAATGTTATCAGTCAAATTCATCTTTAGTTTGTTTATTTTGTGTTTTGCTTTCATTTTTTAGCCAATAAATCAGACCATTGCATGCAACAATTACAGTTTTTTTCAGTCGCTAACAAGCGTTTGTCCAACCAGTAGTCACATTTTCAAAACTCTAAACACAATTAGCACAGCATCGGTCTATTGTGGCCATACCATTCACACATTTCATGTCGTTTTCTCACAATATGCAGTCAGTGAACACATTTCCACAATGCTTACATTTTCTTAACAGACAAGTTATACCTCCCAACAAAATTATGGATTGTTTTTGTAGTATTTGCGAATGTTAACACACACCATCCCACAATAGCAAAAACAATATTCCAAACCTTAGATACAGTATAAAAACCTCTGCTCCTGCAATGATATCAGTTCAAAAACAATATATCTCAGCAAAATAATAAACAAACAATTGAATAATTGACCCACAGCTTATTTATGTTGGGTAAATTGGGCCAATCCAAAATTACCCTTTTTTTTCTATTACATTGACACTTAATCAGTAAAATTAGGACTTTGAGGAGTGATGTTTTTGGAAACAGAAACAGAAAAAGACAAACACTGAAATGTCTGGACGAGGAAGAGTAAGAGCAAGGGGCCCAGGGAGAATAGCAGGAGCAGTGAGAGATGCAGTGAGAGGTGCAGTGAGAGGTGCAGTGAGAGATGCAGTGAGAGGTGCAGGAGCAGTGAGAGGTGCAGTGAGAGGTGCAGTGAGAGATGCAGGAGCAGTAGAGAGATGCAGTGAGAGGTGCAGGAGCAGTGAGAGGTGCAGTGAGAGGTGCAGTGAGAGATGCAGGAGCAGTAGAGAGATGCAGTGAGAGATGCAGTGAGAGGTGCAGTGAGAGGTACAGTGAGAGATGCAGGAGCAGTAGAGAGATGCAGTGAGAGATGCAGTGAGAGGTGCAGTGAGAGGTACAGTGAGAGGTGCAGGAGCAGTGAGAGATGCAGTGAGAGATGCAGTGAGAGGTGCAGGAGCAGTGAGAGGTGCAGTGAGAGGTGCAGTGAGAGATGCAGGAGCAGTAGAGAGATGCAGTGAGAGATGCAGTGAGAGGTGCAGTGAGAGGTACAGTGAGAGGTACAGTGAGAGATGCAGGAGCAGTAGAGAGATGCAGTGAGAGATGCAGTGAGAGGTGCAGTGAGAGGTACAGTGAGAGGTGCAGGAGCAGTGAGAGATGCAGTGAGAGATGCAGTGAGAGATGCAGTGAGAGGTGCAGGAGCAGTGAGAGGTGCAGTGAGAGGTGCAGTGAGAGATGCAGGAGCAGTAGAGAGATGCAGTGAGAGATGCAGTGAGAGGTGCAGTGAGAGGTGCAGTGAGAGATGCAGTGAGAGGTGCAGGAGCAGTGAGAGGTACAGTGAGAGGAGCAGTGAGAGGAGCAGTGAGAGGTGCAGTGAGAGATGCAGTGAGAGGTGCAGTGAGAGGTGCAGTGAGAGGTACAGTGAGAGATGCAGTGAGAGGTGCAGTGAGAGGTGCAGTGAGAGATGCAGTGAGAGGTGCAGTGAGAGGTGCAGTGAGAGATGCAGTGAGAGATGCAGTGAGAGGTGCAGTGAGAGGTGCAGTGAGAGATGCAGTGAGAGGTGCAGTGAGAGGTGCAGTGAGAGATGCAGTGAGAGGTGCAGTGAAAGATGCAGTGAGAGATGCAGTGAGAGGTGCAGTGATAGGTACAGTGAGAGATGCAGTGAGAGGTACAGTGAGAGGTGCAGTGAGAGATGCAGTGAGAGGTGCAGTGAGAGGTGCAGAAGTGCAATATTTGATGAAAACATGTGGCCTAACCCTGAAGATCGCGAGATTAGATACAGTAATTTTGTGCTTTTTTGTAAGCAATACTGTAAAACTTTTTCTGTTCTATCATACCGTGTTTCTACTGTACCTCCTGTTGTAAACAGTAAAGGGAAAAACTGATTTGCTTTTTACTAGAATGCTTTTGAATGTGAACATTACTGTACATGTGGACATACAGTTCCCAACCAAGAAATTTAGTGTAAAAAGGTTGGATTGCATGTTTTGCATGCAAATACATGTAAAACTGAAACACCAAAGTCTATGTAGTTTTTGTAATGTCAACAATAGCCAGTATTTTGAAACCTGGTGTACTTTGATTGACTGCATGTACCGTGTGAAGTGAAAACAAGTGTTATTCTTTGACAGAATAATTTCATTTTGAGTCAGATTTCCAGTGTTTTGGTAAAGTTAGTGTGTGCAGAGAAAGATGTGTTCTATTTTGAAATGAAGAGTTAGTATATATTTAACAAAATGTGTTTTTGAGAAGAAAATTAACCATTTGGCCAATTGTGTTTTGTAGGTGTGAGTCTGTGTTAAGAGTTTAGAAAAAGTATCTGAAGTATGGGTAAGCGCTTGTTAGCGATTGAAAAAAACCTGTAAGACTGGCTTTCTCTGGCTTCTTTGACTGCCTAAGAAATAACCAGGACAGAGAAAATACTGTCAAGTTCAAAACAGTGTTATAAATAAGCTTTAACAACACAACTAATACCTTAACCTGTTTGACCCTTTAATCAGTCAAAACGTCTCTATCTGAATTTTATTCAGCTAAAGCAATAGCTGGATGTCTTTGTCCACATTAAGGATTTCCTGGAACATCAAAAGTTCAATACTTCTATGGGTCTCACTGTCTGCACGAGAGCGCAATCAGCTGTCGAGTATGAATTACATACATTTCATGTGGGAGTTTAGCGTGCCATAACGCTAACATCGCCCTATTTTAAATACAACAAAAACATTCCTCTCTAAAGATATTTGCAGTAAACATTCAATAATCCACAGTTTTTTATCCAAATGGTGCTGGATGGCAGAGGCAGGCTAAATACACATAAATAAATACATAGTACATAATTATTTATACAAATAAAAATAAACATGAATAAGTCACGTTATTATGATATGGCTGTCAAGCTGATGTATATTTAGTTTTTTTCGCCAGAGCACCACCTGAGTCTTCACGCTTGATTCAACTTCCCGCGTCTACTACCGGCGCAGAGTTGTAGGTTGCCAGGTTGAGGTCACAAATGGGTTGATATTTGTATGATGTGTCGATTGTGTGAGTAGGATGCGTTTTATACAAGATTTTATACTGTATTTTATATATATTAATATAACGAGGTTTGTTCATGTTTTGAATATGTTATCGTCAATACATTGCGTATATTGCGACATGCATAATATATATATATATATATATATATATATATATATATATATATATATATATATATATATATACACTCACCTAAAAGATTATTAGGAACACCTGTTCAATTTCTGATTAATGCAATTATCTAATCAACCAATCACATGGCAGTTGCTTCAATGCATTTAGGGGTTAGGTCCTGGTCAAGACAATCTCCTGAACTCCAAACTGAATGTCAGAATGGGAAAGAAAGGTGATTTAAGCAATTTTGAGCGTGGCATGGTTGTTGGTGCCAGACGGGCCAGTCTGAGTATTTCACAGTCTGCTCAGTTACTGGGATTTTCACGCACAACCATTTCTAGGGTTTACAAAGAATGGTGTGAAAAGGGAAAAACTTTCAAATTTAAAAAAAATCCAGTATGTGGCAGTCCTGTGGGCGAAAATGCCTTGTTGATGCTAGAGGAAAGAGGAGAATGGGCCGACTGATTCAAGCTGATAGAAGAGCAACTTTGACTGAAATAACCACTCGTTACAACTGAGGTATGCAGCAAAGCATTTGTGAAGCCACAACACGCACAACCTTGAGGCGGATGGGCTACAACAGCAGAAGACCCCACCGGGTACCACTCATCTCCACTACAAATAGGAAAAAGAGGCTACAATTTGCAAGAGCTCACCAAAATTGGACAGTTGAAGACTGGAAAAATGTTGCCTGGTCTGATGAGTCTTGATTTCTGTTGAGACATTCAGATGGTAGAGTCAGAATTTGGCGTAAACAGAATGAGAACATGGATCCATCATGCCTTGTTACCACTGTGCAGGCTGCTGGTGGTGGTGTAATGGTGTGGGGGATGTTTTCTTGGGACACTTTAGGCCCCTTAGTGCCAATTGGGCATCGTTTAAATGCCACGGCCTACCTGAGCATTGTTTCTGACCATGTCCATCCCTTTATGGCCACCATGTACCCATCCTCTGATGGCTACTTCCAGCAGGATAATGCACCATGTCACAAAGCTGGAATCATTTCAAATTGGTTTCTTGAACATGACAATGAGTTCACTGTACTAAAATGGCCCCCACAGTCACCAGATCTCAACCCAATAGAGCATCTTTGGGATGTGGTGGAACGGGAGCTTTGTGCCCTGGATGTGCATCCCACAAATCTCCATCAACTGCAAGATGCTATCCTATCAAAATGGGCCAACATTTCTAAAGAATGCTTTCAGCACCTTGTTGAATCAATGCCACGTAGAATTAAGGCAGTTCTGAAGGCGAAAGGGGGTCAAACACAGTATTAGTATGGTGTTCCTAATAATCCTTTAGGTGAGTGTATATATATACTGTATAGAGAGAGGGAGGGAGATAGAAAGAGAGAGATTCAGTGCCTAAGTAACTGTGCAGGAAACTTATTTCAGGATGGGCAAAATTAAATCCATTTGAATTCTTTAGCACTTTCACAGTATATAATGGTGAATCGTCTAGGACGCACTCACTGGACTGGACTACTGTTTGATTGAGTTTGAAGGTGCAGGAATAAAATTTGCTGCTGTATTACAAATGTTATTATTTTATTGTTCAAATGAGTTACAAACTTTCTAATGCTGATCGTGTAGCTGGAACAGTTCAACATGAACATGATGGAGAATCTGGGTGACTCCAGTCACTGTTCAACCCTGAACTACACACAGGCAGCCATGATGGGTTTAACTGGGAGCCACAGCAGTCAGCAGGAGGCACAGCAGCTGAGCTACAGTAGCCATGGCAACATTCCCAACATCATTCTCACAGGTATTGTGTATTTCAATTTAACAAGAATGTCTTTATGCAAATGTCTTTCTAAGAGATGTCACAGAGGTACAATAAATGCATTGAGGCTATTTACCTATACAGTACAAGCACACGTTTTTGGGGAGGACAGAATGCTTGCATAAAGTTATCATTAAAAGTTTGTTTACAACCCATTTTACTTTATTTTGTTAGTTTTTGAGTAAAACAGGATATTAAACTAGAAAAAAAAATTAGGATGGGACTTGATTTGAATAATGTAAATATTCTGATTTCATAATTATTTTAAAGAGTAACAACCAGTTTCATGCAAAATGTGTTTCTGTTAGTCCATCTGGAGACAAAGTTTTGTAAACAAGATTCAGTTTCAGTTATACCCACCCCTGAATGACATTTTAAAACAAAAGCTGTGATTGGTTTATTTACTTTATATGTCAGGCATTTCTTGGCAAGAATACATTGCGAAGTTAGGCAATAGTCTGGCTATGCAAGAATTAACGTAAGACTTATGTTCCGTTCACGCAGAAACGGAAAGCTATCAAGACCAAACTAAACTAATTATGCACCAAAATTATTATTATTATTATTATTATTATTTTATAAAACACCGAAACAATTTAGCTGAAAACCAAAATCGAAAAATAAAGTTTATTTAATAATCAGTTAATCAAATTTATTTAATAATCGACACTTAAATGAAAACTTAAATTAACAGAAACAGTATGCTGTTTGGAGAGTGTTTTTGTACATTAACAGGGCAGTGTTCAGAGGATTAAATCATTTACTAGATTAACGATTGATCAATCAACAAATTAAACTCACTCATACTGTCATACATTATTAAAACGTCATTTGAATTTGACAAATAATACATTTTCTTGTCCCTAATAGTCAACATAATGCAAGGGAAACTGTAAAATGAACTGCAGCAGTGCTAAACTTCCATCATAAAATTACAACACTCGAACTATAAATGTATGAATTAAACTCACTGAGACTGTAGAAACTTTCTTTTCCATGCATAATTTTTTTATATTCATGTATGTGGTTACAGTCAAATCTAATAAAACAGTGAAATCGCCTTCGAACTCTTCTGTCTTGCCTGCACTCGAGACGGTGACGTAAGCTCCACTGAAAGTCTTCTTTCCTATTGGTTGTCGCCCACGAAAATCTCTTCTCATTTGCATAAAGTTGAAATTTCTGAACTTTTGTCGCGTGTCTTTCATCGCTTGACATTGCCCACATTCTGTCGCTAACAGTCACTGTCGCCAATGGTCAATGTCGCTCTTGTCGCCGGAAGTCGCCAGCGCTCCATTGAAACGAATGGGATCGTGTCGCTTTGTCGCTGCGTGTCGCTGGCGGTGTGAACGGGGCTTAAGGGTCGCACCTGCGAGCCCCAAACACTTCTGATACTTTGAGAAAAGGCCAATTAGTATTGGCGAATGGAATTTCTATGCGCCACTCCCCTGGACATGAAAGGAGATGAGGACAACAATGGGATTGTTCCGCCAGTTCAGTCCCCACGGGCCTCTCATTCCTAGTCACTCTCATTGTGCCCAGTCAAGTTCATGGATGAGTTAGGCAGTTCGTCTTATGGCAAACCTAATTTTTGATTCAGGAATCCGGATGAGGACGAACTTTCGATTGCAGCATTATTATGCCTTCCGATGCCGAGGACTTGGCTGAATTCCTCCTTCCTTCGCAGCCTGAACCCACAGCCCGGACGCAGCGTTTAGCTCCCCGCAGGATGGCAACGCCGCCCATCCATCTGGCTAGCGCCAAGATCCCGAAGGCATCGAGTCGTCCCTGAGACGGGTGACCCAGAAATGACGGGAGCTGCTCTTTCCCAGGAGGTGATATCCAGACTGCTCCTTCCCCCGTTGGATCACACAGCTCGCAGTCTGAACATGTTGGACGCGAGTTTCCCACTATGACACATACAAATTCCCACTCAGGTCAATGTGATGTGTCTTGAAGATGCACAGATTCCTCACCCATCACAGGCTGGTTCTAGTCGAGGTACATGGAGCAAGGTAGGCGTTTCAGTGTACCCACAGGGTTGGGACGTGATGCTTCCCGACGTGGCGGCCAAAACTCTGTGTCACCGTACTACCACAGGTACATCAAAAACGATTGTCCCTCTGGTGCTTCTCACGAAACCATCACACTGGCTCATCAGGACAGGGGCCCGCCCAGGTTCAGTGGTGTCCTTTTTACCTCTGTGACAGGCAAAGATGATGACCCTGTCCTGCATGCAAAGAATGCAGTCCTTTTGGCAGAGGCAATAGAGCCTGTTCCTCCAGCCGAGTTGAAGAAAGGGTTTTACACCCCTTATATCATTATACCAAAGGAGTATGGAATTGGGCCCTGCACAAGCTCTTATTTAAGATGTTAACACAGAAACACATTTTGACATACGTTCGCCATCAAGATTGGTTCATAGCAATAGACCTGAAGGACACATACTTCCATGTCTTGATTCTGCCTCGACACAGATTGTTTCTTTGGTTTGCCTTCTGCAGAGGCTGCCCTTGCCCCGCTAAGATCACATCAATTATCTTGACGAATGGCTGATTCTAGCTCACTTTTGATATTTATTGTGTGCGCACAGGGACCTGGTGCTTAGACACCTGAGCTGATTGGGGCTTCAGGTCAACTGGGAAAAGAGCAAGCTCTCCCCAGTGTAGAACATCTCTTTTCTCTGTATGGAGTTGAGTTCAGTCACTTTGACGGCGCATCTCATGAGCAAGCATGCTCAGTCGGTGCTGAATTGCCTGAAGTCATTCGGGGCAAAGACGTCAGTCCCACCAAAACAATTTCAGTAGCTCCTGGGGAATATAGCGTCCACTATGGGCCACTCACATTCCAGAGGAACTCAATAACGCAGCGGATGCGCTGTCGCGATGAGCAACACTCCAGGGAGAGAGAAAACTCCGTCCCCAGATGGTCCAGCTGATCTGGAGTCGATTTCGGCTAAGCACAGATAGACCTGTTCGCTTCCCAGGAATCCTCCCACTGCCCGCTATGGTATTCTCTGACCTCTCAGCATGCGCGCGCTGGCACACAGCTGGCCCAGGGCCTACGAAAATATGCTTTCCCCCCAGTAAACCTGGTTGCATAGATGTTGTGCAAAGTCAGGGAGGTTGATAGACAAGTCGTGTTGGATGTGCTGTATTGGCCCACCCGGACTTGGTTTTTTGGAGCTCACGCATGTCTGCAGTCTCGCTGGGCCTACAGAGAGCTCCTTTTGAGTCCCTGGAGTCAGTTAAGTTTAGTCTCCTCTCTTTGAAGACAGCCCTCCAGACCACGCTCACTAACAAGAAGAGGGTTGGAGGCATTCTCTATCAGTGAAACGTACCTAGAGTTCAGTCCGGTATACTCTCACATGATCCTGAGACCCCGGCCAGGCTCAAGTGGTGAGCTTGCAAGTGCTGCCTTGAGATTAGGCAGACCCAGCCTTGTCATTGCTGTGTCCAGTACGCGCCTTGTGTGTTTACTTGGATTGCATGGAGAGCTTTAGATGCTCTGAGTCTGTTTTGGCGGACAGCAGAATTGGGAGGCTGTCTCCAAACAGAGGATTGCTCACTGAATTTTGGATGCCATTGCCTTGGCATACCAGCCCCAGGGTGTGTCATGCCCCCTAGGAGTCCTAGCACACTCCACGAGGAGTGTTGCATCCTCCTGGGCTCTAGCGAACAGCGCCTCTCAACAGACATCTGCAGAGCAGCAGGCTGGGTGACACCCAATACCATTGCAAGATTTTACAATCTCTGGGTTGAACAAGTTTTGTCCCGTGTGTTATCAGGTATGAATAGATAAGGTGCAGGAAACTAGCTGGATGAACTGCTTGCACACAACGCCTTTCCCCTCTCTGAGATAATAACGTGCACTTTTTTGTTCACATGAGTTCTCCAGGCTAGCGAACCCTGGGTGTACTTTTACTTTCCAGCGCCCTATGGCAGCTTAATTTGGTGGTGGAACTCACTGCAAGGCCCAGTACTCATGAAGTATTCATGACCTTTCAGGTAAACTCGTGTTGTTGGGCTAGGTACTCCATATGTAGTGATTGTCAAGTTAACAGGGTTTCTTTACCTCAATGTCTGCCCAAACTTGAAAAAAGGCTTCAATCAACTTCAGAGGGTGCATGGAATAACTCAAAACATCTGATTCTTTATCATAAAAGGAATTTATTAAATCTTTCAGCAACATCTTGATCTTCTTGTGCTTGTTTTCAGTGATTAATTCAGATGGTTATCTTAATAACCTATATAGAGAAAATATATAAATATATGAGTCACTACACACAGCATTGAGAAAAAATCGCATTTGATATTGAAGTTTAATTGAAATGTTAAATAATAGTAACTGTGTATTTTTTTATAACGAAAAAAAATGTATAAAAATAAGGCTTTTATGAAAACACTGAATAAAAAATTGCTTACCAACACAGAAATCATTCACAATTGCTAAATTAAGCTAAAATATAAGGCTCTGAGTGATACTAAACGAAGAGCCATTTGGGAGCCGTAAGAGCCGCCTCTTCTAAGGGAGCCGAGCCAAAAGAGCTGAATCTTTGAAAAGAGCCGGACTTCCCATCACTACTAGGAGAAGCACATCCACTTTTCAAACAAAGGCCCCTTTATATGCTGTCAATCACACACACCTGGGGCCTCAAAACGGGCGTACACCACTTCCGACGCATAAGTTGTGATTTATAAAAACAAAATTTTATTAAAAAAAAATAATAATAATTTGCGCACCTGCACGCAAACTCTGACCCATGCGTACAAACATTTTGGAGATGGAGCAGTTTGGCAACACCGATGGTGAGCTGGAGTTAAATGTCTTTTTGGTCCCTTTTAGACCGAAAATCTAAAGAAAATTATACATATACAGAAAGATAATACAAATATAATTTCACTCACCAAGCCTATCACTTGAAGCAAATATCCATCCCTTCTTAAATGTCCGCGCCAGCGAGCGCGTTGGGCCGTTTAGTGAAA